TATGGATAAGACGCGACGTGACGCGACGCTACAATAGTGGAGTGGAGTGGAGTATACGAAGTATAGGTAAGTAGTGGTTCACTTCGTATATCCGCGCACTGCCGTGGTCTTGGCTTGGTTTAGGGGCTGTGCTGTGTGCTGTTTGATGTGTGGTGCTGGGCTGAAGAGGGAAGGAGGATGCGAAGGGGAGGTGGGAGACACGGTGCACGTGATGGCGGTTTAAGATTTAACGTTGCTGGAATAGTGGAACCAGAAGGGAGGGCGATGAACTATCTACAACACGTTTCAAGCTCGTGTTTGCGATAATATATACAAGTACCTTCTTACCTACTCCATATGATATGGTAAGTTACGCTTTATTCTACTACGGGTGGGGAGTTATGTCGCCATAGCGTGGGATAATTTTAATGGCAATGACGGCGATAACTACGAAGTACAACAGGGAGAGCTCGCAAGGGTGTACCTAGCCTAGGTATGTATTAAGGAATATAATTGCCGCAGAGCTAATCTTCGTGCAGGGATACCCAGCACATCAATCGATCATCCATCTTCCACTCGCGACCCTCAATATGAATAACAGCGGACTCCACGTCTTCAGCGTCGAGTAAGCTGTAAATTGGAGATGGGGAAATGGCTTAGCACGGCAGGATATTCGGAAGGCTATACTGCGAAGGAGAGAGGTGGTGTTGGTGTATCCAGCAGGATGTAAAGGGCAATGGCCGCAGGGAAAGCATTCGAGCTTCGAGGACATATGAGAGCGTTGGAATGCGTATAAAGCAGACGTCTACGATTCGAATAACGATATGGAAAGCCGGCGTTGAGGAAATATGGCCCGAAGTGGGGATGCTCTTTCTTGTGATCGCAGAAGCGTTTTATACTTCGTATTCATGGTGGTCTAGTATTCCTCATCTGCGGAGCTCAGATACGGTAGGCAAGGCAAAGTTTTACTTTGGAAGTACTCGTAAGAATGATGGCCTACTGTCAATCCTATATCTGCTGTCATTTACCTAAACGTTCAGTGCTGGGGTACGGAATCAGAGGACGTATTTACATTTATCACGGAGTACATGGACTATTAGATCTGTTCGTGTGGTCAATATGGATATGGGTGCCAGAACACATTGGCCAGAACAATATGCTCCTGCCAATATCGAAGATTCTGTCAAAGGAAATATTGTACTTGTCGTTCCTGCCTTTATACAAGTTTCTTAATCTTATCCTCTGCCTCTATGCCACAATGCTTTATCCTTGGACTCGTAAGACGACATATTACAATTTCTAAAATTATACTCCCGTTTTTATAGCTAGCCCGTCTCAAGACTGCTATATCGATAATGGAGTGAAGTTGCTACTCACACTATTCGTGTCTTTGTATTTCAGCGAAGTCCTGTTGAACTAGATGTCGATATAAAGACAGGGTTTAAATCAAATGTTTCCATATGTTTGTTAATATACCTCCTCTATTGCCTACAAGGGTTTTTCCGTTTTCTGCCCTATGGCTGGTAATAATAGATGCAAGATACGTATAGCTAGTAGGTGTCAAGGACGTCGAGTTTCCTCTGTCCTTCGCATATGAATTCTCGCCCCCGTGAGTTACCTGTACTGAAGAGTCGTTGTCAATGCTATGAGCATGCCGTTAGGTCAAAGAAAAACATTAGATAATTCTTCTAGGTAACGTTTTTGCATTGCGCCGTAAGTAATTAATGTATTCCTAGCGTTCTCACTTTGAATTCTAAAAGGCGTACTCTGCACAATGGAATTCTCCTACCATCTCCTGATGGCGGCTTTTATTCTTCAAGTGAGGCTTTCGTCGAGGGCTAAATACTTTAAGATCTCCGTGTTCTACCTGCTACTTCGCAACTTTCTCACTGCCTCGAGTGGTGTGGCTTCAGCACGGAAGCTGTCTATAGTATGAGTATTATTCGTATTCTCTGCCCCCTTTAACTAAGTAAACTACATATCCTCAGATAATTCGTAAAGCATAATGGGCTGTCTAATACCCATAAAGCAGTAATTGATACGAGGTTTAATTAAGCATACTCCGTATTCCCCACGTCTCTGCCCATCGATAAATACGAATGCCATAATTCCCAACATCCAAAGAATCAAAAGACGTCGATCGGCCCGATTAATTGACAACACAGAAAATACAGCCATGCCATAATGCCCAACGATCCTAACGTGCATTATGCGATTAATGCGCTCGCTCGCTCGCGGTTGATTTATAGCAACGCACTGCACATCTCACTAAAACAACACAACACATCAATCAAACCTTGATCAAGCCCGCAAATACAGTACGCGGTACAGTATTAGCACACGTCCACTTTTTCCAGATTCCGACTAACCTTGAAGGCCTACGGAGAACAGGTCACAAATACCTCCGTAGATTCTCACACACTCCACTCGATCCACCTTTCCTCATTCGCAACGCACCTTTCTCCAAGCCTAGTACTGCGAGGCTGCGCGCATTGCATATAGGATCGAGATCCATGACTACAGAACAGTACTCGCTACTCCGGACTCCGGACTGATTTCGCTGTATGGAGGGGACGGTACTGTACGCATACTGTACTGCGGCATTTGCTTGATCTGTACGGAAGATGTAGATCGTGATCTGGGGTGTATCGGGCGGGCACCCCGCCCCGTCCCCTTTTTTAAAAAGGAGGTGGGTGGGTAAGGTAGGTAGTGGGGGCCGTACCAACGAAACGATTGTTTGTCCGCCGTCTTCCGTACTAGCTGTACTGTGAGCGATTTGGAGAGATATGGGAAAATTTATGTTTATCTTATAATTGCACGCTTTTTGCGCTTGCGCTGGGAGGATGATGATATTTGAACAAACCGTCGTCTAATTTTGTTTTGATTCTCTGAGGATAGATGTCGACACATGCGTGATAAACATGAGGTAGGATGAAGTGACCGGATTACCAGGAATTTGATATGTTGCTAGGAAAGCTGTTAAGGATGTGGGTTTTGCAAGTGAAAGTGAAATAGTTTATTCATATGATTCAATGTAATCACAATGAAACTAGTTGCTGTCAAATCTGTATTGCTGTCATTTATCTTTCAGCTTGGATATTGCATCTTATATTGATGATCCACCTTAAGGATTCTCTGGAGAATTCTTGGGTCAGGTTTTTTAGGGCAACTTACTTCACACATGTTAAGTGTCAAATCGGTTATAATTTCTGGCTAAATATCTTTGGGAGTATACACCATAGGTCTTATACTCGGCTGACTGGTGGAAATCTTGACCAGGCTGCAAGGACTTCAGGAATCAGCGCAGCTTTCGATTTACTACCCTGCATACCCAGTACTATTCCCAGTGCACCTTCCCAATTTGATCAGCTTTGCCTGCTCTGCACGTCTTGCGGGTTTCAATTACGCATGATAAAACTCCATCCGCATGCTCATACTCCGTCTTGACCATCAAAAAAACTTCTGCTTCCATCTGAAAACACTAGAAATATTCTCCATCCGAGCCAATGATTCACCCCGCAACATACTGCGGCCGTCTTTCATGCGGCCGTCCAAAAAGATGTATTCTTTCGGGTACATAACCCGCCTTCGGCTTCTCCTTCGTTGACCAGGGTTTAGACTGCTCTTTCGCTACTGGCGGGTTGTAGGTCTTGCCCTGTTGATCCTGAGGACGTGGGGTTCGGTCCTTTTCCCCAGCGCGGGGCGAGGAATTTGACTTTTCGGAGACTGGACCTAATTCAGGCGTCCCTTGTGAATATCCTACTTCAACGAAACCCAGGTTCGAATAATCCTGTCCTAAGTTTTGCTGTTTGGTTGCTACTGTCCTTGTTGGGTTGGGAAGGAGAGCCATCGTTTGGCAATGAATTTTCTATTGTTGGGGTTTGACTTTTTGCTGAATCAGACGCGAACATGGGTGGCTCAGAATTCCGAGGCGATTTGAAGGAGTCTTCTCGAGCCTTTTCGATGGCGGCAATCATTTCACTGTCTGATGGTCCATATGTGAGGGCTACTGAAGGTATATCTCTAAGGGCAATCTGCTCCGAATCCTCAAGTTTTAAATCCAATCCCGACTCAAGTGCTCCATTCTGGAGGCTTTCAGGCAGCGGAACTGGAGCAGATAGGACTACTGTAAGCGACAGGAGAATCATAGTGAGGTAGTTAATTCGAAAAATCATGCTTGGACAGCGTTCTAAAAGCAGAAAGTGAGCTACTGCTGATCACATGAAGAAAAGTGAAAAAGACGAACCATTCACAGCATTAAATATGTTGGGTGGCTGTATGAGACTATCAAAAATATCTGTTTGACCGTTGTGTAGCACATTTTCGTTGATGACTGAGTTGACAATTTGACCGGATTGATTATCCGTCATTGTGGCCCCGGAGCGTACCTTTCTTCATATGTCACTCCGGCACGAGGATCACCAAGATATTAAAGATACCCATGAAGAATGCCACCGCAATTGACAAGAATCAAATACTTCAAATCCAAGCACTTGGGACCCCCCGATCTGGATGCCCTGAAACAAGGTGGAAGATCGGCGGAGTGAGAGGAAACTGAGACCACACTGGAATGAAGACATGAGTAACGGGCCGCCGAGCCTCTAATAAAAAACTCAAAAGAACTGACTGTCGGGAAATGGTCTGACTTTTGGGTACGAGGCGCGGACCTCCAAGAACGTTCTCTAGGAACAAACAAGCCCAAACTCTTTTGTTGTCCGCGGTGCTTGAAGAAAATGAGCGCGAAATGAACGCCAACTATCTTCCGCTTGGAAAATTCAATATATCCCAATGCAATCTCAAGAGAAATGAGGTATTCAGAACTAAGCACTATATCAAGAAAAATGATTACAGAAGTTCGTTAGTGGCGTGGCTGCCGTCGAAAAATATATTTGTGCCAAGCCTTTTCCGCCACGTGAATAATCACACTTTTCTTCTCACCATTTCAAAATGCATCCGGCTGACCCTTCCAAGAGACTCTAATCGCTTGATGATGCTCCGTTATCTAGTAAGCAGTTATCATAATGCCCAATATCACAGAGGGCGATGGAGAAGCGCTGCAGCTCCCTTCTTCATTGGATATCAAGTACGTGTGGGGGCCGTGTACCGACTTTTGAAGTGAGCAAGCATGAGGCTAACGATTACAAAGTCCTCTTCAGCTTTTTGATATTGCCAAGTCTGAAGGCAGGCCATTATATACTTCTGCTCCTATGGTCAGGTATAGTAAGGTATATCTTCTCTTTCCGTACATGTGGTTCGGAAGGAGGGTGCTGATGAGGGGTGCGCTATGTAGCTGGCATTCCGAGAAACTGTAGCCCGGTATGGAACGGATTTGACTTGGACGCCTATGGTACGTTCCTCTCCTCAAATAAGGAGGTACATGGACAGGTTGAGCTCATGGAATGGAATCACAGATCCTGGCAAAAGAGTTCAATCGTTCTCTCTTTGCACGTGATAGTGGTAAGCACGTGAAATTTACATCTATCCATCCCCCTCCTTCACGCAGCAGCCGCTGGTATTGCTTTTCTCTCTCTTGCCAGTCTGATATCTGCCGCAGACTTCACCACATCTCCCACGGCGCCGCCAACAATCGTCCAGTTCGGCTGCAACTCACCAGATGAGATTTCCCGCGCAACTACCCTACTCGCCCCGTATGTCAACGGCATCGATATTAACTGCGGGTGTCCGCAATCATGGGCGTGTGCAGAAACCCTCGGTGCCGCCTTGATGCACAAGCGGGAGTTGGTAGCATCCATGGTCACAGCAGCAAAGAACACACTTGGTACCCCCATCCCATCCCCACAATATCAATGCAATTCCCTCACCTAACACTTTGGCAAAACCCCCAGCTTCCCTCGGGTACTCAGACAAGAAAACGGTCTCGGTAAAGATCCGCATTCACAAAGACCTCCGCCAAACCAGCGACTTCATCAGGACCGTCGAAGCAGCCGGCGTAGATTTCATCACCATCCACGGGCGCACGAGGAGCACGCCCTCGCACCAGCCCGTAGATCTCAACGCAATCGCCCTCCTCACAGCACACACGACGGTGCCGACTCTCTCCAACGGCGATGTATTTTCTCTGGCAGACGCACACGAACATGTGGAGGCTACGGGTGTCGACGGTGTGATGAGCGCACGGGGCATTCTTGAGAACCCCGCGCTTTTCTTCTCCACAGCGCACTCCGCATCCACATCCACATATGAGGGGTGCAGTTGGGGGGTTGTGGAGACGTTTGTGAATAATGCGATAAGAGCGCCAATCCCTTTCAAGTTGATTGTGCATCATTTGAGTCAGATGTGTGGGAGCGATCACTCGCAGAGTGGGAAAACGCTGCTGACGAAGGAGCAGAGGGGACGGTTGATGGCGTGTAAGGGGTTGGGGGAAGTGATTGATTTGTTGGATGAGGTGCGTGAAATGGAAGGGGGGTTGAGAAGATATTGAAATATGCGAATAGACGTTCTTTCGCTTTTAAATCATATTGTAATTGAGCTCGAGGGCTATCATTTAAACGCCAGATCCTTTATGGATCTATTCCAATTTGTGCAACCACTAGCTTATGCCTCCTCGGGCCAAACGTCGTAGCCAAAAGTATCCTTCATGTTCACAAATCTCGATTTGCGACCCTTAGCAACCTTATTTACAGCCTCAAATTCTTCATCGGTCAACGAGATTAATTGAGCATTGCTCTGAATCCGCACTGGATTCGAGCTCTTGGGCACAACAGCGTATCCCCTCTTGATACCCCACGCAATCAGCACTTGCGCCAGAGAAACACCCTTCTTTTCTGCAATGGCAATCAAATCCTTATTCGTGGCTACTTTCTCACCAGTTCCAGGAACCTGGTCCTGCGAGCCGAGCGGTGAGTATGCCACTGGCACGATGTTTTGCGAAAGACAGTATTTGATGAGGTCGTCTTGCGGCAGGAATGGGTGGATTTCAATCTGGTTGAGGGCTGGTTTGACCTTTGCATATGCGAGAAGCGAAGCGATCCCTTTCTCGGTCCAGTTGGATAACCCGATGGACTTTGCCAGCCCTTGATTGTAGAGGGCTTCCACTGCTCGCCATGTCGGCTCTTGGTTCTCGGTCAGGTCCTTTTTGATGACATACTGGACGAGAAACGTAAGTACTTTGTAGATCTGAAGCAAATGAAATCATACCTTTCCATCAGGTCCGATTTTGACACTGTGGTCTGGGTTCTTCTCAGCCGCGATTGGCCAGTGTACCAGAAATGCATCGACGTAGGGTGTCTGCAGCATTCTGAGGGAATCCTTCAAACTCCATTCTACGTCTTCTGGTTCGTGCAAGTGGTTCCACACCTTGGTTGTGATGAAAATATCCTCTCTCTTCACCGAGGGGTTGTTGGACAGGAATTCTCGCATCCCAGACCCAACTTCTCCCTCATTCTGGTAGAACCATGCGCAGTCCAGATGGCGATACCCTGCATTCAGGGCGCTCACCACTGCCTTATGTGTCTCTCCTTTGCTACCCTCATTGGCAAAGGTGCCGAATCCAAGCGCTGGAAGGGACACACCATTGTTCAGCTGGATGATTGGACCTGTAACTGCTGGAGCTGCTGCCATATTGTGTGGCTGGTCGGGTACGGTACGGTGCGGTGCGGGCGTGGGAAAAGAGAAATTCGAAGGACTGAGGTTATCTGGAAAGTGGGGGCAAAGCTACGGAACCTGCTGTCCGGTAATTGCAAATATGTAAGTTAAGTAGTATCTGAATCGCGGCGGTGAAGGAATTGAAGACTCTTTACGAGGTTTTGTCGGACCGTGGTCGAGCATACGTATCAATTTGCAACAAGACGGACGACGCGGCGGCCTATGACGTCTAATTAGCCCCTCTATTGGAGATCTTTGCAAGAGTCAGCCTTGGAGGGGTGATTCGAGAGATGTTGCAGGGGTGGAGGAAAAACCCTCGTCGCTTGGTGTTAGAGTCTTCTAGTCCGCGTTTGGCGCCGGCTGATTTACACCTCCTTAGTCTCCTGCAAGTCAACGACACTTGTCTCCCTAAGACTCCATAATATCCCCTACGGCAGTACTTGATCGGCTTTACTATCTCCCAATGAAGCATAAGGTGTACGAGAAAAGGGGATTGGAAAACGTGAAATGTGGAAACCTCTCGTTTGGGCGTTTCGGTCATATCATGGTAAATAACACCCATGTCACTCAACGTCAGTCGTGGATCTGCCTCCTCTTGCACCCCTGCCTAACGCCATCACGTCCTTCACCAACGAATAGAACCAATCCCAACATCCGAAAGGTCGGCTTTATGACCTGATTATACTTCGAAGCAATTCCCTCTGCCTGAGAATATGCAAGGCTACTCGAACTAACTGCAGAATCCCTCAGCCTCTGCATCAACTTTGATCCGCTTTTGATAAAGCTTTTCTCCCAAGGCTGCGATACACTGGATCACTTTGTTTCACGATTCAGCTCGATACCAGAGGTATTTGTATAATGTGGAGCCTCATTTGATAAGGAGACGAACGGACAGCATATTCCAACTTCACATGTTACGGCCACTTGTCCGCTTTCAGGTGAACTGTCGACTCTCCCATCCCCGACTATTCTCTAGCCTTGTTTCCGTTCGGTTACTGCTGATATATACAATGAGACCATGTCCCAAGAGGTTGTTTTCTCTTTCATTCTTCATTCTCCTACTTCCCAACTATCCAACGTGAAAACTTATCAAACTTTTCATCAAACATTCATACTTCCAACATGCCTGCCTTCGAAGACAAAGAACTCGGCGCTGATGGCAAGAGGCCTGAAACTCCTTCCTCCACGAACCCTATGGTTGAGCACTTGCACAAGGTCTTTGTCAATGGATCACCTGCAAAACATCACAGCACACTGGAAGTCCCAGGCGAGAATGAGCACGGTGGAACTATCGAAGTTCCAGCAACCAGATCTGCCATAGCAGAATCAGAAGCCCTCATGCACTCTCTGAGCATGTCTCCATCTCAAGTCGACCGCCGAGGCTCGCGTAACAGCTTTGGGGCTTCATTGCCAATCCCAAGATCAAAGCGTCAATCCCGTCTCTCTTCTGTTGCAACTGCAGATGGAAGACCAACAAGACCCGGCATGCCGGCCATACAGCCTACTCGAGAGATTCTTTCGTCTCAGTTGCAGGATATGTCGTCGATCACGACATCTGCTGCCAAGAACATGGCTTTTGCCTTTGATATTGACGGTGTGCTTGTCCATGGTGATCGCCTGATCCCAGAAGGGAAGCGAGTTCTTGAGATCCTCAATGGAGACAACGAGCTTGGCATCAAGATTCCTCACATTTTCCTTACAAACGGATCAGGGAAACCTGAGGCGGCCCGATGTGCTCAACTCTCAAAGATCTTGCACTCCCCAGTCTCGACTGAACAGTTCATTCAGTCCCACACTCCCATGTCAGCGCTGGCTGAATACTACGAGACTGTCCTCGTCGTTGGAGGAGAGAACTACCAATGCCGCGAGGTGGCCAAGGAATACGGGTTCAAGAACATTATTGTCCCCAACGATATTGTTGCAGCACAGCCCACCATCTCCCCACTAAAGGAGTTCTTCACTGCCGAACAAAAAGCGACATCCAACCCCAAAGATTTCAGCAAAATCAAGATCAACGCCATCCTCGTCTTCTCCGACTCTCGCGACTATGCCACCGATCTTCAAATCATCATGGATCTGCTCCAATCTGAAGATGGCGTACTGGGCACCATGGCGAAAGACCCAGTCTCGCAGCGCATCCCCATCTACTTCTCCCAGGGTGATCTCCTGTGCCCCACCGAACACCCCGTGCCCCGAATGTCGCAAGGCACCTTCCGCATCGCTCTAGAAGCCATTTACAAAGCCGTCACTGGTGTCGAGCTTGAGCGAGTCGTGTACGGCAAGCCCGAGCTGGCCACGTACAAGTATGCTGACGAAGTCATGGCTTCATGGATGGGTACTATCCACAATGACGAGCGTCTCCCCGAGAACATCTACATGATCGGCGACAACCCACAATCCGACATTATTGGAGGCAACATGTACGGGTGGAAGACCTGCCTGGTGCGCACTGGTGTGTTCCAAGGAGGCGAGAACGACGAGAAGAACCCGGCCTCCTTTGGGGTGTTCAACAACGTTCTCGAGGCCGTCCAGACCGCGGTGAAGAAGGAGCTTGGGGAGGACTTCAAGTTCAACTGGAGCGACGCCATGAACCCCGTAACTGCTAGTCACGCTATTTCAGCCATCGAGTAAACGGATGGATTGGGGTACGGATAGGGATGATTACCACGATTTTTCTTTTTTTTCAATCATAAACCCACAGCATAGCGCTGAATGAGATAGATACTCGTGTTTCCGAGGTAGATTGGGGTCAGGCGTTTAGAATACCGCATCGCTCCTGACAAGTGAGCTTGATGAACAATTGATTTTACATTTTATACCAGCCGCCATGCAAAGTTTCGTGTGCTCGTGCGTGATGTGCGTAACTATTGCCTAGTTTTCTCACTGTGCTGTATCCAAGTGTCACGTGTGCCTTCCCCACATTGCGCTTTGTCACGTTATTCGCTCGCCAGGTGACAATGCTGTAAATTTGAATGCAAGTTGGCTTTGTTTGGACTTTGGCATACATCGCCGTCAGTCTATTATTACCGCTGTCTGTTGTGGCTGTAGATGTTTGGTGGGCGGTTCATTAATTGATTGTAGCTCATAAGCTGCATCAAAGTCTTAGTCACCGTGTCACTGTCAGTAACGTACAATTCCTCCCTTATCCCAACGACCTGGATTTCTTAATATCTCTTTCACTACTATAGCACCTAAAAGAAAAGTATATCTTCTTGGGTTGAGATGTACGAATTTAAAACACAGTCTAGCACTTTTTCTTAAAGCATATTCTCTAGAGCCTGGTCATGAGTCAAAGTGCCATACTCTATATCAGGTATCTCTTCAACGCTATTGCGTTTGTTCGTGTTATTCGTTTCAATAATAATGTATAGATATAAGGGGGGTTTTTTTTGGAAGTGATTGTGTGGAGAATCTTATACCTGAGATGCCAAATTACTCTCAAGTAAAGGTAAGAACAACCTAGGTTCTGCCTTCTTGCCAAACCAAACTATCCGAACGTCCTGAAAGGGAATTGAATATACAACAGGCGACAGAACATTCACTCTCTTTTATTAATTTAATGTCCGCTTGGTAGCATCGCTAACTGCTTTTGCGTTGGCCGCGTCGGGAATCAGCCCTTCTTCTACAACATCGCATTGTATATCAATCACAAGTAGTCATTCCTACAGTTTGCCTCCCCACACTCATTGTATTCAAATAACATTCGAAGTCCGTCTCGACTATTCTAGTACTCTCATAAACTTGATTCTTCGTCTTCCAACAACTAGCAAACACTCCCTCTCGCTGTTTTGGGCGGCGACAAACACCACCCGCGATGTCAGTTTCGGAGGAATTCTCATCGACACCACTTTCCAAAGAACCCGTCAAATGGATTCCCACAGCTCCTTTATATTCATTTACTCCACCCCAAAGCACCACGTCAAGACGCGTATCAGGTAAGTAACTTTACAGAAGTCATGTCTTTCGGAGGGTGCTATGAAAGAGAATAACACTGACACTACTTCATCACAGAGGAGTCTGCTGTTGACTTTGAAACGGAGTATCCACCCTTGGGAATGTACGGTAGAGTACCCAGAAAGCGAAGAACGTCTACGCAGTCATCGACGACCTTTACTCCTCCTCCCAGGGATCTGCCGCCAACGCTCATGCGTATTACGAAGACTCCACCCCCAGCGCCATTCAAAGTGCCATCTCCCATGCCTAATATAAAGCCAGTGTCAACCGTCATTAGCCAGACAGTGCCAGATCTTGCACCCAGCACCCCATTTGCAGAGCCAGATCGAATTGAAGAATTCGAGGAGTCGACCCCAAAATCCACAAGACCCGCGTACAGGGAGCCTCAATCCTTAACAAACCGCAACAAGTCGCCCTTCCACCTAACACATACCCCAATTATCGACGGCCAATCTCTCCTAGCAGCAGTACAGGAAAACCCAGAAGCCATCTACCTGAACATCTGCACCTTTATGCACAACCTCAACGAGGCCGAAGCCCAGCTCAAAAGTGTCACCGAAGACTACCGTGGGGCTATCCGAGACTACGAGTGCGAACGTGCGACATGGGATGAATTCCTGAGAGTTGAAAAAGCTAAGCAAGTCGTGATATGGAAATTTATCGATAGGTTACAGAGAGGCGACGCGAAGTATACTTCTTCCGGACTACCTGCAGAGAGTAAGAAGAAGAACCAGGCTAATCTTGATACCTATGAGAACGAGAACAGGATCGCACAGTTGTCAGAGGCCGTGAACGAGGCTGTCAGTATTGGGGAGAACTATCCACCGAGCGTGCTTCCAGTTTTCGATACAACGAGTAATGGAAGTGGCATGGCTGGATCGGTGGAATGGCCAATGGGCATGGATCCCGGCGCAGTACGTGTAATTGATATCCCCCCTCCCCTTTCCCCGCCACCCCCCCTTCCTCATAATACACGAAAGAAAATCAACTCACACCTCGCACACAGCGAATATTCATCCCCGTACCACCCATCAGCCCCAACGAAATCATCTCCAGGCGCAAACCCAGCGGTCTATCCTCCTCCACAATCAACAGCATAATCGGCATGCTCCCCCCGCGCTTCTACGGCGTGTGTCCCATGTCCCTCATCTCCTCCGCTCCCTGCCCCCTTTCACCCTGCAACCTAGCCCGCATCTGCGACTCCTACAACGATGAGTCTCGGGGCATGGGCTGCGAGCACCTTCTGAGCGGCAGGCCGTGCCGCTACGTGCACGAGTACCGCACGTGTGAGTTCGAGGTCGATCAGTCCCGCTGCTATGTCGAGAGGCCGGGGAAGTATGGCAGGGAGCGATCGGAAGGATATTGCATTATACATAGCCAGAAGAGGGTGCATGAATCGCAGTGCGATGTTGAGGAGTGGAGGGCTAGGGAGATGGTGGCTGGGTTGAGGAATGTGCATTTGCAGGGGGTGTATAATGAGCAATGAGCAATGAGCAGTGAAAAAGAAAAGATGAGCCTCTGATAGAGCATGGCAAGGAGGTCAATATGGATTGGGCGGACGTCAGTGATAGATAGTTGGGGAAAGAGGATATATATTTGAAAGGGGACTGGAGTTATGGCGTTGAAGTATACACAGCTGTTGGATGGAAGCAAGCGTATGTTTGTTGGAGTACCTATGGTCTGTACTTATAGCGATATACCACTCATGCACAGCACTGAGTGAGTATTCTTCACAGCCTCGTTCATGCGTCTTGATGAGGATATACTAGATCCGTACCTTTCAAAAGATAAAAATCCACACACATAACCTCAACCTTAATCTTGATTCTAACTTTCATTCATGATTTTTCAATATCTGCATATTCTTTCGAGAAACTCAGCACATATAAACAAGCCTTGTATTGTAGTTTCGTCTCATACTTATGGAAGTGAGCATTTGAAAGTACCTGACACGTGACTGTTACCCCTATTTATCCCATTTTGGGTGTTTGAGCAAATTGCTTTAGTCTATAAGTCTATAAGTCTATGTAAAATAATTGAAGGAGTTAGTATAATAACTAGGTTATACTTCTTTGTTATTTAGTTTGAATCTTGATGTTTGATACTATACTGCCCGTTTTGGAGGTTGGTTTGGTTTGGTTTGGTGAATCGGAGCTTTGCTTACCTTATTTTAGCAGAAACCTTGCTGCTTCCCCAGAGCCATCCATTGCCTCCCCATCCATAATGCCGTGGACATAAGCAGCTCCAACAAGCTCATAAGAAGCGTTCTCCTCGCTGTCTTCCATGTCATTAATCTCTTTCCCATCAAAACCAGTTTCGTGTGCACTGTCCTTTCCACCTTGCAATGCTCCCCTTCCATCCACCCTCTTGACCACAAAAGGCACTCCCGAGCCCTCAAATACACACACCTCGTCACCCACCTCACACCCTTGCATAAACAAGCCCATCCTGCCCTTCTCCGTAATGCCAAACGCACGCCCCGCACAAGTGATATTAAGATGCTTGATACGCTCTTTCAACCTTCGCACCATATCCTCACCACCAGGAACAATATCTAGATTAATACCCCCGTAGCCCAAAGCTAGTAGAATAGTCATCAGACCGAGATCCATCGGCGGCACAGGGCGTATGGGCGCGTCGGGGAGCGTGAAATCAAATATAGGTTGTGAGAGATCTGCGAGAAGCGTGCGTTCGAACATTGCACGACGGGCTGCGAGAATGGCGGGGTCGTGCCCGTCGTTGGGCCCGATGCCGAGTTGGTACCAAGATATTAGAAGAGTGGTGATGGAAGTAAAGGGGGCCTCTGGAGATGAATCGAGGGGTTTGGAGGGGTAGACACGGCCTATGTATTGTATGCGATCAACGGATACACCTTTGAGTTCAAGTATATTATTGTCTTCATGGATCAAGAAATTCGGTAGCGTTTCTTTCGCGGCGCTATAAAGGGTTGTCTCATTCATGGTTTTGGCCATGGCGTTGAGCCTCTTCAGTGCCCTCTCTTGTTCTGGACGTCCACTAAAGCTTATTTCGTCGTAGCTTTGCATATCTGCCACACCCACCAAGATACCTTTCAGCCTCGGATGCTGTAAAAGCTCGAGGGTGCCGTCGTAGCCAATTAATGGCAGACATGGTGGATCTTCGAGGCTCCAATCTGGCACCCATGATGGAAGATTTGGAAGTTGGCTATGGCCGTAGGTATAAGCGGTGCCAGCATGGGCGAGGAAGTCCAGGCGACGGTTTTCTGGGCCGGAGGAAAGAAAGTGCCGTGCCACAGTGGTGAAGAATTCGGAAAGTCTTTTTGAGTAGTCTGGGGTGATTTGCGGATTCACGTTACCGAGCATTCTGCTATTGTTTAAGAGGTCGTTGAACACCACATCTCCAGCCAACCCTGAAAGATTGAGTAGGGCGTAGACACGATCTTGCGTGTTGGTTGCTTTGAATCTGCAGCCGGAACGAAACATGCGAACCAGGTAGTAGAGGAGAGATAAATGCTGATCCTCTGCCGAATGCATTGATCTGAATTCTTCCATGATCCTGATATACTTGATTTTGAGAGCATCTGACCCTGAAGAATTAGGATCCTTGTTTTCTGTCAAGGAGTATAGCTTTTGCATGCTCTGTGGTTCGCTCTCCACTGCCATTGCAAGCCGGGAAAGTGTGACCCAATCAATTTCTGCATTGCCGTATCGCACTACCACATTGCTAGACATAACCTCTTGGACGACCCATGATCGTTGAAACCAACGATTCTGTAGCAGTCTCTGCAATGCTTGCCATGCTGGTTCTGGCGCATCCAGTGAATAGTTAGACGAACCCATTACTCCACTTAATCTGGTTCTGATCCAGAGCCGTCGAGCTAGGCTCAAAGCCAGTGTACTTTCCTGGTCAGATCCCAGCCAGACAGTTACTTGCTTTGCATTTCTATAGATACCAGCCATAATCGCTATTTGCTCGGCTTTATCAGCATCGCTCGATTGATCAATACAGATGGCGTCGATCCAGAATTTCTTCTTTCGCCATTTTGATCGTAAACCCTTGAGAGCGACAAGCGCTGAAGAAGTGGTCCTGCATTCTTTACCGTTGAGTATCATAGTGGAATTGGCCTCGCTCGAGCCCCAGACTGCAAAATCGCAAAGTCAGCGTTATTGATGGAGAAAATTTGGACTGGAAGTGTTTAATGTCTCAAGATCTCTAAAATTTTAGAAATGAACATTGTAATTCACAATTCAGTTGAGAAAAGGTATTTTTCGAATGCGTGCATACCATAAGAGACTGCAGTATATTTTGGAGCAGTTTCAAGGTTATACCACGACATGCTACAAGTTATGACTTGATCTTCGGATGCAGAAGGGTCGACCTCCAGAAGACGAAAAAGGCGGGGAATAGACCCTTCGGCCTTTTTGTTCGATGGTGAGGTTTTGGCCTTTGAGTTGCGGCTAATCATGAATGACTGAAATGTAGGCCCGTATCTTGCAAACCTATGGAGGGCTGAAGTAATATATGAATTGCAAGCCAAGTAAAATGCGTCGAGAGTTGCGCCCACAAGCCTTCTTAGATGCGCGATCCGTTGGGGGAATCCCATTCTTCGCCAAGAAACTCTTCCTCTGCGCACTCCCTGTATCAGCAGCAGTGCCAAGTGATCTCTTGCTCTGATGACGGACTCATCAAGTTTTTGAAACTTTTTGACTATTCCAAGATCTCCGAACCTTGTGAACAATCCCCCCACAAACCCACCAATTGCAGCTCTGTTCTGCCCCACTGCTACGACCAAGGCCACAACCAGATACGGGAGATTTTGCACAGCCATCTGAAGTGGCGTTGTGACTGCTGTGATTTTCATACATCTGATAAAAAATCCTGTCCAGGTCTCGTTCAATCGCATAGCACTCTCCTGCTTCAGGACCTCCTTGTCTTTAGTAGCGAGCCATCCTGAGAAGAACTGAGCTGTATCCCAGTCCCTGCTGAGAATCAACCAAAACAGTTGCCCAAGCCAAGGTCGATTTTCATCTAGTTGGAAGAAGTTGAAGATCGTTTCGAAAAGCAAATGCCAGGCCAGTGCTGGGCAAAGAAGTAGAATCAGGATACACAAATTTCGCATCTCGTGCCATTGCAAATGATGCAGATCGCAAGTTCTTTGAATAGTCGCAAGCCCAAGCCTCCAAGCACGAATTGCGAAACTGAAGAAGAGCAGCCCGGCGTAGACTTTTGACTTAGGGCTCCGCAACTCGGATAACGAAGAGACGGCATCAGGATGATTGACTCCGTATGATACTAGGGCTGCGTATGACGAATAAATTGAGATAAAGATTGTAATAATGCCATAGTCAATGGCTCCAGCCACGAAGTAAATGAGTATAATCTCATGGTTCCAGTCGTACAGATCAAGTGGATCTGGATATCTCAGAACACATATATCCCAGAATTGCATAAAAAGGGGGCTTTTGACGAGGTAAAAGCTGTCGTTCTGATGCGAGGTGGAAACCCGGTCAGCAAAGGCGCCAATGGAGTTGAGAAGCCCCATTTCGACGCAGCAAGATGCGAGATTGACTCCGAGTTTTCCTATACTTCAACTTGTTAACAAGCAAGTTCCGATCTGCTCATTCTCCAGTGTGTGATGGTTGTATGTGTGAAGATCCTTTGCACTTTATCACAGATACAGAACAGCTTTCGTGGAGCTGAAATGCAGTGTTGGGGCTGTGTCGGTGGCGATGACAAACCAAGGTGGCAGCTGAACAGGGCACTGGCAGAGAAAATCGAATATAAGCGTTACAAATACTCTAGGATGGCGAGGATGGTAACAGAACTATATTTCTCACTGCTGTAATAACGATCAAGTAACATGTGATGCGGAAAGATAAGTATACATCCTTCGATAGATCTATCTCGAGTTATTTGAGGGACTGCTGGAATATATGCCGAGATTTAATCATTGAACATAAGGCTACTAGAGTATGCGGATATACTTAGAATAGAAGAAGTAGCGAGCATTCAGTCTAAGGTGGTGGTATGAGTTGATGGATGGGTGAGAAGAGATGTGAGGTGAGAATGAATGAAGCAGCCGCTTAGTCATCCTGTTGAAAAGTGGAGTGGAGTAGATGCGCAACAACCTCAAATCGCGATTTGGCCTACAATGGCCTTTCTATTCACTACCCACCATACCTACCCACCGTACCCGCAAACCCACCCAAGTATTCTTACTCCGCCATCCTCCATTTGATCCTCCATCAGCGCCCCATCCCATATGACAACTGTTGAGAGATACCGACCTCCGCGCATCGATTTCGCCTCAGATGCGCCCTCAAATGCTCGACGATCCCATTCCGCCTTCTCAACCATAACAAACATTCCACCAGCAGTACCATCACCACCACAACTATCGAGAAACTCTCCTCCTCGAGAACCCCACCCCCAGGCGGAATCCTCTCCTACAGTGAAGATGGCGTCGGAGGATTCGAGCCAATGGATCTTCACAGAAGCCGAAATTTCAAGCTCACCGTCCATCGCCCATGGCATCCCACCCAAGGATGAGCGCTGCTTGAGGGCAAAGGGCGCGAATTTCATACTTCAGGCGGGCATATTACTCAAGCTTCCGCAGCTGACAATTGCCACGGCCAGCATTTTCTTCCAGCGTTTTTATATGCGTGCCAGCATGGACCAGTCCAAAGTCGGCGGCATTCACCATTATGTACGTTCTTCCCAGACGCAGACCCCCTCTACATTAGCTGGCCCTCCGTCGAAGCTTCCTCGCTCTAAATCGCATGCAAATCTTATGGTCAAGGATCCTCAGGCTAATTATGAATCAATGGAACAGACTATTGCAGGGACTGCCCTATTCCTAGCTACGAAAACCGAAGAAAATTGCCGGAAGACAAAAGAGGTGGTTATTGCATGCGCAAAAGTCGCACAGAAGAACTCGAATCTAGTTATCGATGAGCAGTCGAAAGAATACTGGCGATGGCGAGACAATATTCTACTCTTTGAGGAGCAGATGTTGGAGTTCCTCACATTTGATGTCGTTTTGAAATCACCTCACAACATACTCTACGAAATACTAAACAAGCTTCACATCGAAGAGAATAGAAAATTACGGAATGCGGCATGGGCATTCCTCAATGATGGATGTCTTACGACGTTGTATCTGCAAGTACCCTCCAGAGATTGTGCTATTGCTGCTGTATACTTCGCAGCGGGGTTTACTGGGGAGACAATACCGGATGATGAGAATGGAAACCCATGGTGGGAGCGAGTTGGTGGGCGACCAGACAAGATCACAACAGCGACAGGAATCATGTTCGAATTCTGGACTGAGAATCCTCTACAGAGATCTGAGAATCCGTATGAGCAATCTCCATTTACTTTTGTCAGTGAGGAAGATCTCCACAGAAGTCGCAGAAGGGCATCTTTGAGGGCCGATGCTGGAAGCAACGAGGATACTCCAAGCCCAGGGCAATCACAGCCAATGCAGAATGGCCACAGTCAACAGAGCCAAGCAAGCACAGCACCGGCTGTCAACGGTAATGGAGCTGTAGCTCCCAACGACAAACTACTTTCACCTAGACTAAACGCCGAGACTTCGGTGAATGGTTCATCGGATACTGCGCTCAAAGAAGCGGCGAATGATCCGGCCACGCACTTGTCCACTGGAGGCTCGGCTATTTCAGCAGCTGGTCCTCTTGGCGAAGCCCCAAAACCAAGTCCGAAGCGTAAGAGCCCAGGGGATGGAGATAGGGAGGAACCCCCTTCCAAGAGATCCAAGAAGATTTCAGACAGCTCGGAGGAGTCTGCAAAGACGCTAAGATCGCAGAATACTTCAGACAACTCAGAGGAGTCCGCAAAGACATTAGTGGCTTCGGAAACGAACGAAGCAGCAAATTTGGATGCATCGGGGCCCGTTGTAGAAGCTGATGCTCCAAAAGAGCCTGTTGCTACGACTGAAGAGAGTGAGGAGGGCGAGCTGGAGGAGTGATTATTCTCCTTGTATAAAATTGGTATTTCAGCGAGGCGTTCAAGGTCATGGAATCTATAGGGTCCGGGGAAAGGCTGGCGTTCGGAACTTTAGACTGGCTTTATTTGTTTTTGTGTACGGTAGGGATGGCCAGATAACACTGTGACTGCCAGACTTCGGAATTACAAGGGAACCACGTGGCGAAGCTTATCTACTCAAACCTTCCCAGAGGAGTGCAAGTTTGCCTAGCAATTAAGCTGACAACATCCATCTCAAATTCAAAAGCGATCTCACGACGGATAAACTGGTTTAAGCATGTGAGGTATTCCATCAATTCAATTCGTTCCGCATACCATCATATCCATCCTATAATATCTTATTGTGTCCGCCCATCCATCTCTCATCTTCAAATTGTACATGTCGTCCATCTATCTATGCCTTGTGTCTCGTATTCTCTTCTCATCCCCTATATCCATAATTGTCATGAATAACCTATTAGTAAACAAACTCCCAACCAACTCCAGCTGCTGATATAAAAGAAATGATATAGGAACATAAGACCAAGCTGGTTGCGCATGTGTGTGCGTAGAAGACAGGTAAAGTTTGTGAGACGTGAGATACGTTTTCTGGTGAATGGATGAGGTCGGTTGTTGCTGGCTGCTGGGCTTGAGAGCTAGGGCGGAAGTGGAGTGAATTATCGATGATGGCTGAATGTGCTCGCCGTGAAAGAAAGGATAATCGAAGCAAGTCTGGCGTGAGTCAAATCCAACATCCCATGCCCCTGTGCTGTGCTGTGGCTCCGAGAAACAAGACAGAAACAAGACACTCAAGCCCTAACAACCCTTCCCTTCCTCTCCCCCCTCCCCTCCTCAAAAGCCCCCTTAACCCCCTCAACCCTCTTTCTAAACCCCTCATTCCAAACTCTCAACTCCTCCGTCTCCTTCTCCATGCGCCCCAACATCCATCTCGCCACCTCCAAAACCTTCATATTCCTCCTGCTTTCCCTCAGTCTCTCTTCCAATGACCCGCCACGCTGCAGCAGCACCGCTCTGTGGATATCGAGATCGTAATCCTCCTGTGCCACTTCGCTCATGACGAATTTGAGAAGCGTGCTGAGATGGAGCTCTACGTTGTTGTTTTGCTTGTTGTTTGTAATCTTATCTGTGTTTGTATTTGTGTCTGCGTACGTGTGCAGGGACGCCAAGAGCTTGTTAAGGCCTGTGGTAAGCGGGAGCATGGTTTTGGCGTGCGAGGCCATGCGTGCTTTGTGCTCGGAGTGGAGGGCGGTGATGGCGGCGAGGGCTGTGTTGGCGTTTGTGTTTGTGTTAGAGGTGATGGTGTTTTGTTTGTGGCTTCCTATCCCGATCCAGGCTGAGGTTAGGGTGAGGAGGCTGAAGGTTAAGAGGATGATGTGGTGGAAGAAGTGCATTTTAACGATTGGGTTGTGTTGGGTTGGCGCGGTAGATGATATCCTTTTCGGGAAATTGAATTGCTTTGGGCGTTTGTATGTGCGTTGGGGAACGAAAGCGTTGGTAGATCGAGAACGATGGATGGTCTTTGAGATGTTAGCTCTTTATTGATGTCTTGGGGGCTTGAAGAGTGGTTGAATTACCAAGAGGTACTGTACAAACTCTCTACTTTGCTTTTCTTGTCGTGCTTGTGCTTGTGCTCGCAGTCGGTGTTTTGGGGATCAAAGATCAAAGAGCCAGACAACACTTGGATGTGGAAGGTGTAGGGATAGGAAGAGGGAGCGATAGAATAAATTCTAATATAGAAAAGCAAAAGGTAAATTGAATGCAAGGTAGTGCTTGTAGAAAAGAAGGTTGGTGGGATTTTACAAGGCCGTGGTGAATGCACATGAGGGGGCGGAAGCGAGGCGGTAAAGGGGTAGATCACGTGGTTAGAATGGTCATTGGCAGTCCATTGTTCGTTGGGCTGGGTCTGAAAGGTTCTCGAAATCCCTTCAGAAAATATCCTAACTATAGGTAGGGTGAAGAAAAGACCTGCAAGGATATAGTAGCTCGAGAACACTTGATACATTGCAAATATACATTACATTACATACCAAAACAGTAAATGGGTATATCCATATCCTAAAACAGTTTCTCCAACGGCATCTCCCTCCACCTGCCCCTCTCAGTATGCCACCATCTATCCTTCCCTTTGCCTTTACTCCTCTCCCCAGCTTCCATGTTCCAACTCCCCGTACAATTATCCTTCAAGTTCGTTTCATCACCTCCCTGAAGCAATCCTCCCGCACCTTCGATCCTGCAAATAGCTTCATCCATACCATCTACGTCCGGTCTCAAGCTGTAATTGATCTTACTGCCTAGGTCTCCGATAAATCCACCCACTGCGAAACGCTCTAAGAATTGTCCTTCTGGGTCCCAAATTATGATATGATATTGTGGTGCGGAGACAGCAGTGTCAATGCGGCGCTGAGCTGTCATGCGAGCAATAGAAAGGCTCATCCCCGTAACTTGTACGTTACTTTCTGCAGAACACTGTGATTTATTCTCCAACCTCATCGAGAAGGCTGAGCGCGTAAGCGACGGCTGGGAGGTTGGATCCCGGGGCCCAGATTGGCCATTTCCAGCAGAGAATGGCCGTGTTGGCGCAGCAAATGGCATGGATGGCATGCTTTCGCAGCCTCCATTTCGGTACCGATCTCCAGACAGCTCGATGCGGTCTCGTGGTTTGCAGAGCTTCTGTAGAGAGCCGTCAGAGTCGGTTGGTGCGCGGAGAGTCCTCAGGGCTGGGAAGCCAGAAAATGATATGGCTTTGGAGAGAATCTCGTTGGCTGTAGTATCCCCCGGGTTGGTGAACTCCCAGTGGAGATATTGAAGAGTCGACGATGCCAGATAGGGGTGGAGAAAAATATCAACGCCTGTCGGCAAAGAGGGCGACGGTACCTGGGAAACCGTAAAGTGTGTAAGAGACTTCAAGTGGGAGAAAAGTCGCGCGAGAACTGGCAAAGACAGAAGTGGTAGTGAGTTGAGCGAAAACGTTTTCAGACCATTGGACTTTCCGGCTGATGCGAAGGATGACAAGCCATTGTCGGTTACGCCTGCGAGGTTGTCAAGTCGGAGGGATCTGAGAGGTGGTAGCGATAACAAAGTGGTATCATTGAAAGATGACTCCGAGAAAGAAGAAACATGCAAATTCTCCAACGCAGGTAGTTGCTTCAAAGTGTCGATGAGAAGAGGAGAGTCGACTATGCCACCCTGGTTGCAGTGTAGCACGAGGGTCTTGAGATGAGACCAGTTCGAATGAAACATCAGAAAGTCTATACTCTGCTCGGGCAGAAGAGAATTTGGTGCAATAACAGGAGTGAGATAATCTGAATCGTCCGAAGCTTTGTATCGGTGCTGCCGTTGAAATGGGCTTTCAGAAATGATCCATACCCGCTCCTGCAACTTCTTCCTTGTAGAAAGTGCATGCACAAATCTCGGGAATTCATGAGTATAGGCAGGATGGAAGCCAGGAAGTCGTTCTAAATTCGGGCACGCCATTATGACCGAAGCAACCTGATCCAGGTATTCATCTTGATCCTTTTTGTTCTTTGCCGCATCAGGCATAGCAGGAACTTTCAATATCTTTACGTATTCGGCGAGATCGGGCCTCGCTCGTAGCGTTCTTCGTAGAAGTTTCAGTCTCGTACCATACTTCATTTTGAGCTTCTTCTTCGTGTGCAAAATCGAATCATTGCCAATGAGCTGTACATCCTCGTAAAGGGTAGTCCTAGCAGCACCCCACCACTTTTTGCAACTCAAACTCAAAGAAGCCAAATCTCGCATCCAACAAGTCGAGCAACTTAGACTCCCGGCATCTAGATGCACTTTCTTTAATTCGGCAAGCACAACTAGCAGAATCTCCTCTGGTAGATTTCCGAACCCCTCTCCAGGCGCCTTTGGTGTATATTTCGTTCCAATTGATGGGCCTGTAGGACTTTGTGGCCTTTTAGACAGTCGTTGCGGGGTCATCAGCGTCTTTCGTCGGCCCTTTCCACCATCGCTGTGCTGTGAATGGGAAGATACTTTTACAATAGGCTCCGTATAACTACGTCTGGCACTCGTCCACTTATTAGTTGACGAGTGCACAGGCGCATCATTCGAAAAGGAAGAATCCTGACTAGTCCGACTCGAGTTATAATCAGCCGAAGAGCTGACACTCAACGGGCTCTTATGTCTGGATTCGAAGCTGGATCGCGAGGTGGTGCTGCTACTCCCAGCAGAGCCAGGGCGTGTCAACGTTCGAGGAGATGCCATGTCCGTAACAACTCCCCAAGGGAGGAATGGAAGGGTAGACGAAAAGCCCAGGTTCTGAGAATGGGAAGTTGGAGAATAAATAGGATACGATGCGCTTGACTTGTGCTTACGCGCTGACGAGAGTGAGGCGCGGGCGTTGCGAGTTTTGATGTCCTGATAACTGTATCGTCGAAACCCTTCCTCCTTCTGCTGTCCTAGTCCTCGCCCTCGTCCGAACTGCCCCTGCAATGATTCAAAAGGCCAGAAATCATTTATAGGTGAGGAAGGTGCAGAGACAAAGCTTGGAGTTGATATTCTTGAGTTTGAGAAAGGAGGGAGGCTTCTGCTTGATATTTAGCCCCAGGCCATCTCGACGATAGGCAATCACAATCTAATTTAAAGAGCAACAAGGTAGATTATAGGATGGCGCTTGAATAAAAATGGCGAAAGGAGGACCCCGATCGTCCATATGAGGACGCATCCCTCTTCCTGCTACAACGAAGTACGCGCTTTGACGAGGGGTTGGAAGGCCAGTAGGCCTGAAATGGAAATGGAGTGGGTTTTAAGATGAAAGTGGATCGAATTGGGGCAGCTAGGGGGGTGGTCACCACTCGGTAGCGCAATACTTGCCGCGTACTACGCCTATTTATGGCTGCCCGTGGCTTGCGTTTCTAATAAAATGCTCTGAGGGATAACAGCTCACTCTCTCCTCATAAATCACATCAAATATCGAGGCGGCAACATACCTGACAGCGGGAGCATCGTTGGAAATAACATTGTTGCCCCTACCCACAGGTATGACAAGGGCGTCAAGGGGTGAAAGAAGGCTTCGATTCTGCGGGTTCATGCTTTTGTTTCTCCTGCAGCTGATGCGGGGTGACAAGGGAGGGATCGCGTTGGCGCCAAATTGCCGGGGACAATGCTTCTGGTCTAAACGAGAAGTACAAGCTTGAAGCACCTCGAATGCTACAACTGCAACGCACCGGACAATACAGCCTTTCTATATATCAACCAGAGCCCGCCTACTCTTGGAAATCATGCATGTCAGTTGCACAGCACATCGCTGAAGAGTTGCGTGCTACCTGCTGCGGCTGTATGCTCGAGAACTTCTCAGCCTTCAGTCATCGGCACACACTGCCTCCACGGTTCCTAGTATCTGCTATATTACTGGTTGCTCTCTTCCACATCTCAAGGAGGATTCGGAATCATGCGCTTCAGTAGCTCTGTTCTCTCCCTGGGTCATATTGGCGGGGCTACATCGATCTTGACGGCACGTTCTCCGTGATCTTTATGGATGCCTTCCCCATCTGTCTCTCGGATTCTCCTCTCAGCCTTGTTCAAGACCCCGAAGTCAAGCCACTCTACCATATTCTCCAGTGGCTTTTACTGCCTCAAAAAGCACCCGGGTCAAGTTGCTCGAAGTAGCGCTACGTGCGTCGAGCGCGAGAAGGAATATAGATTCATGTCCGATTCAAGAAAGCCTCTGCTGTGTTTGTCGAGGGGAGGCGAAGATTATATTTGTGCTGAGCTCTGATTTCTCCAAGGCTGCAAATCATGCTTTTCTTCCCCTCCAAATGTTTCAGCTCAAGATACTGCAAGGCAGGAAGGGTTCAAGCGAACACATTTTCGCGTTGTTGGCAATATTTAAGCTCGCATCTAATGAATCCTTTTCGATAGTTTGCCAAATCTGGGATCTAAAGGTTTCCTCCTAGGGAAGGCTCATCCAGGCAAGAAACTGGAATTGCAAAAGTGTTCCAAAATCCAGTTTCATCTTCATATTGAGAGGGCTGCCTCGGCCCGACCCCGTTTAGTAGGCAAGCAACTATTGCTCAGTCATTGGTAGCAGTAAAAGTCGCAAGTGTCTCGAGGCTGAGAAGAGTGTGTGTGGAGGTGACCAATCCAGGATGAGTAGCGATTACACGTGACGTATACTGCTCGGATCAAGGCCTCCAATATGAGTTTCATCCCGGAGTGGGTGGTCATGCTCTCAATATCCATGTAAATGCAGGTAGCCGATATAGTGCAAGAGTTATCAGAGGACTTTGCTCATTCCTTACTTGGATGTTGAAATAATGTCTTGAATATCCCTGTCTCCCATACAGTGTAGAGAATAATATAAAACAATATATATTGGTCATATCCGGAAGCTCGATACGGACCACAATATAGGAGGCGCCAGCAGACTGTATAGCACTAATATATAGAGGGTGATGTTGGGATAAGGGCTGTATCCCTAGTCAAGTGTCTTAGCGTAGCTTAGTCAGCGAAGAGGTCATCACCTCTGCGCTTCTTTTACTTCCACTTCTAGATAGACATCAAGAACAACAACCGATTATAACCACCCTCGCACACCTTTTACTAGCTAGTACGAAGTGATTTACCGCGGTATCCTGTGATACCAACAGGTGATATTATATTACTAACCAATATATAACCAATATACTAATATACGTATAAATGTTATATAATTAAGCATAGTTCATTATTATATAGCATAAATTATTATAACATAGCATAAAACCAAGCTATACTCCGTAACCTGCGCAGACCCGCGCAGACCCACTTAGAAAGGCTAAAAAGGGAGGCTTTCCCCTGAAAATCCCAATGTCTAGCCCTCTAATTGCCCCCTAAAAATGACCCCGCAATACACTCATATATGGCTAATATGACGACATGCGTAGTATATTAGGTCAGTATAGCGACCCCTATATTATATGGCCCCAATATAAGATGGAGCTGGACTAGAGCCATACAATATGCAATGCGGTATTATATTGGTGTATTATTCTCTAGGTATTGTATGTTGTAGTATTTGATGACACAATCCTCCAGAGCATTGGCTTCAAGCAGAGATCTTGTCACTTAGAACAATAGTGGGTAATTAGAAGTGTTTACTGTGTTGTACGCGCGTGCACATGCCGGGACGTCTGAAAGTGTCCGAGTAGAACGTGAAGAATTGATGCTGAGATAGGGAGCATCTTGCACTGGTGTTTAGCTAAATAGTTGGTTTATCTCACTATTAGTACTAGACATTGTATTGGTTTTCTGAAAAACATCTCTTCCCGTGAGTAGAAGCTTGAGGGGCTAACTATAATGCATTGCTTAGGTATCCTATACACAGAACTCTCCCATCCATTCATGCTAGCGTCAGATTCAACCAGAAACTAGCAGCTAGAAATCCTAGCCTCAGCGCCATTTCTAGTGTTGGCTGAATTCGACTTTGGGAAGTTTGAAATCGAGGCTGATATCTGAAGCGAAAGCTGCCAACAATTCCTCAATTCGACTCTGATTCCGCTTTGCAGAACCCACATGTGTTGCTTGCACGACACTCCACCCACCACAACAACAAATATCACAGTACTTGTCCAGGCGGGTAAATGGGATTATGGACACCTTCAGACACTCAAGGCCTCCAAACAAAGTAAGACCCAAGGCCGACTGATCGCGCTTGAATGTCTTATCATCAATGGCTAAACATTGAACCCCCTTGAAGCTAGGCAGCTCATATCCAATGTCCTTCGCTTTGAGAATCCAGTCGTTAACGTCCTCACTCAAGATATTTGTGATATTCAATATAGTCTGATTGTTGAAGCGAATTTGGCCGTATTCTGTGGCATCGACGAGAATGGAATAGGGAAATGCTTCCATAAATAATCCCCGAGATTCATAGCAGGCCTTCAGAAGACGTACGTCCCTTAAATCTGCTTCATCTGCTTCGATTTCCGTCTTTATCTTCGCGAGTGCCTCATCTGGGTTGAGAGATTTCGGTGGGTAACAGCCCATGTCCTTTCTCGCAAGCCTCTGCTGGGCTGTCACGAAACGAAATTTGCAACTGGCGGGAGTACCTGCTACAAGACACTGCGGAACAGCTTCGACGCAAAGTACGCGTACTCCATCTTCAGTCGGGCCGCAAGGAAGGGCAAGTCTCCATATTTCCAACCGCAGCTCTTTAGGTAGTTTTTGAAAAAGGACAAACTGGTCGAAACGAACAGGCTGGGAAGGCTGGATTGTGGCACTAGGACCGACGTTCTTGCTGAAGGAGAGATCCAAAGGCATAGTGTTTTGACGCCTAGAAAGGAGGTAACAACTCGAGGTCGAAGCTGTTGCTTAATACTATCAGTGGATGTAAATAAGAATGCTTTGTCGAGACCTACGTTGCAAGATCTAACAGCGAAGATGCGAATCGTAATTTGTAGATTGCCGGATAACTTGTAATTTCTTGTGGCACCGAGAAAGGCTTGACTTCGATGCGTCGCCGATATTTGAATCAAGAGACGCTGCTGGAAAAACTCAAAGTTTGAGATCTCTCCCAAGACAGAAAGTCAGCTTCGCTAAACTCGGATTGATGATGTAGCTAGCTAGCTGTGAGTTTTATATGTTCCGGTTCATTCGTGAATCTTAGCGCATTCACGAGTGACCTAGATCATTCATGAATCTTAGTACAAATTCACGTATACCCTAGGTCACTCGTGAATATTAGTGTCATTCACAATTAAACTAGTTTACTCACGAATCCAATTTACTCGTGAGTTTGCACTAAACTAAAGCGCTGCAATTGCTTCAAAAATGGAGTTAAATGCATAGTCTATTGCTACTTAAATGTAGAGCATAACTGCGGCTACTTGGCTAGTTTAGGATTAAGGACTGAAGTTGCAATGGTAGAAAATCAGGAGCAAATTAGGGGTGGATCAACTAGTCTAGTTAAAGGGCAAAGGAAGAGTAAGAGAGCTAGAGCTAATACTGCTGGCGATAATATAGAGTAGTAAAATATCCTTATTTTAAACGATTAAGATTCACGTATAAACTAGTTCATTCATAAATCTTAGCGCATTCACGTATAAAATGGTCAGATTCATGAATCTCTTAGATTCACTAATGAACCGGAACATATATAAGCAGGGTAAAGTAGACGGTAGATCAAGTGATATGATAACGTCTAGAGATCCGATCTGAGTGAAAGAGGGTATAATCCCTATCTATATACCTATACAGCTGTGCGCCCTAGAGCCACGCCAAGGGCAAGTCACATGATTCACCTCCTGAATCTAGCTGTCTGGTTGGTCTGGAAGTCGATGACTAAGACAAAACACGCTTCAAGAGTATCGTGTATTATAACTGACTTAATTGGGAATAGTACAAGGTTGTATGTTGAAAGAGAAACAAATGGTCGACAACGAGGGTTCAAGTGACCGTTTATGTGTCACGTTCTTGGCAAAGAGAGCGGAGTGAGAAGCATTCCATTCCTAATTTGGTAGTGCAGCTACCCGACGCTCAGCTTGCGTAGGTAGTAAGAAGCTCTGTAAGGGCTATCGCACGTGTCTAAAGAGCTATGAGAAATAGTGGTGGGGAAACCAAGAGATCTTAAGATTTTTATATAGAAGATGGATGGAGGTTCAATATTCCGCCGTTATGGAGAGCTTGGTGAAGCGCTAAGCTAGATTAGACTGGCTCACGTGGCCCTTCCAGCTATACAATTTTCTTCTCTCGGCGTCTTATTTTAATTGTGTCCTTGCGTAAGGCACATATAGTAGGTCAAATAGATGATCGGTAGATAAATTCCTCTATTTCCCCTTTTTCTTTCAACTTGAAGATCCGCAAGCGCTTTCCCTATTTAGGCTGGAAATTACAAGGTATGGAGTATATGCGAAGTAGGTGCGACGACTTTTGGATGTTCTTTACGGAACTGGTATCTGATCATCGGTGGTCATGGGGTTTGAGGGTGAGGAAAACTCAGGGGGACCACCGATTATGCTTTGGTCTTCTATCATGCGCGGTACCGTTTGCCCCTCTTTCGTATTCTTCGCATGTTTGGAAGCCAAGGATTAGAACCACGTCGGTTGATTCCTTCCTAAGAAGGGTTCAGAAGTATTGGAAGTAGATAATTTTAGTCTTACTCACAATCAGGTTAGCACATGGTAGATTGTTATAAGAATGTATTTATCATAAAGTATTGTTTGCATGTTGCATACGGAGAATCTCAGATTCCAAGAATGTACTGTACAGAATAATAAGTCCCATGCTAGGCCATGTAACAATCTCCGTATATGTTATCAGCTCCAACCATTTCCCCTTGGTTCGCAATCACAAAAGATATATATACCACTTCTAGTTGAAAGTTTCGATTTCAGGTACATTGGCGCCGGGATGGGATGCCACGAAACGATCTTCCACGAGCCGCTTGAACACATCAGTGTCACACCAAATCATTGCGGTACCATCAAGCCTGTTGTCCTTCAGTCTAGGGAGAAAACTGAATACCGGAGAGTGCATGCTGATATATCTCAGACCCCCAAAACAACGCAGCATCTCTTGATGGTCCCACTCGTACGGAAAACGGAACACCAGTGCCAGTTTGCGGATCATGTTGATGGAGGGAAGCAGGAGATTCTTCTGCCCCGCTTCTCGAATCACGTTTCTCGAAGATGTAGCATACCAATTCTCCACATGTAGGGTGGTGTGCTCGTTGTAGCGGATAAGTCCCAAGGACCCCTGGAGCCTCACTGACAGAGTATGCGGGAAAGCAAGCAGGAATGCATCGCGAGATTCTTTGCACAGTCCTAGAAGGCTGACGTCCCGCATGTCCTTTTTCCAACCCTCGTACTCGGCGCATAATTCATCTATGCGGCGTCCGGCAGATCGATAAAGCACGCCCGGGGGTACTGTTCTTAGGTAGAATACTAAGCTCAACCGTGTGTTGTCGTTGATGAGATTGGCATTGAGACAGAAGACGCGCTTCCCATCATTCACCGCACCGTTCGGCAGTGCAAACTTCCAGATTGCCAGGCGTAGTTCGCTGGGTAACTGGGGAAACAGCGTGAACTTATCCAAGCGGGGCTGGACAATGCTCACTCTAGGATCTGTGCAACAGGTACTCTCCTTTTGGGTGCTGATATCGTTGCTGGGCTGGGAAGTCTCGGAAAAGGACATAGCGCTGGGCTGGCCCGCAAACGTGTTGATTTGCTCTTGGTGTTCCTGCATTTCGAAAGGACAATAAAAGGATTGATTATCGAGAAGTGGCTGCCCAGGGTATCTTAGGTATTATCAGAGTGTTGTTGCAGAATGCTCTTCTGATCGATGATCGTCAGTAGTCGGCAAATTATTATTCATGGGGAGACAAAAGTCCATACCTTGGGGGTAGCCAATGACGCACAGTAAAAAGTGAATCGGTCTATTGTGCAATCCCACCAATGTATCTAAACTAAGGTAACTTGTCTGCGAGGAAACTAGCTTAAGCCGCGAAGGTATAAAATACCAGAGATGTAGAAGCAGAAGAAGCACAGGTATTAGTTTCCCCCCTCCCCGCAATACACCATAGGAGTTAAGTTAAGGAGCAAGCTTCTTAGAAAATCCGTAGTAGATGTGTGAAGGTGTATGAGAGGTCGCGACTATTTAGGCCACTACTCAACTACCTAGCATGGAAATAATCAAGTTGAAAGTGAATCTAACAGGAAGGCGCGCCATGAATTTCGAAAAACAATGTGCAAGAGCGAATGAAAGATCATACATCTTCAAATGCACCATATCTTGCTACGACAGCGACATAAGTTCCCATAAAACTCACGTTGGCCGGCTATTGATATTGGACCTTGCACTTTAAAGGCAAAAGTCTGACTTGTAGCTCGTCCCAAGACAATACACCTTTCAGACAGCAATGCAGATAGAAATTTAGAGGCAGACGGCAAATATGATATTCATGAGCACCCGCTCTATCTTTGGCAGATGCAAATGTGGCAAAGCATAATTATGTATGACCTAGAATGCCTATAACCCCTAAAATCAATCCATTCAAGGCCACGGCGTCGGAGCCGTCACTATGCCTCCAGTCGTCGGATCAACTGTCGCAACTCTATACCTCTCAATCTCCTGGCTGATGAGCGACATGCCCCTATCTGCCACACTGATCAGATTCTGTAGTTCTTTGAGGGCTGATTCGTTGTGGTTGGTGAAGTAGCCGTCTATGCTGCGCTTGAAATGTGATGTGGTGTTGTGGTGGCGTTGAAATGTATCTGCATCGTAGTCGCTGCGTTGCCCTAGAGATTCAGGGTCTGGGATGGCCACTTCTGACTCTTGTGCTGCGGGACCTGCGGTTGAGACTGCGGTTGAAACGACCGTAGGCAGGACTATGTCTTGCTCAGGTAATGGTTCGGGAGAAACGGTCTTTGACGACTGAGTAGTTTTAGTAGCAATATCAATGTCAGCCCGCATGACCGCCTCGACGAATCGCTGGTCGAATGACTTGCCAGAACCGCTAGGATCTCTGAGGTCGTAACTGGGGTGTAAGGAGTCTTCGTCTGGCTCAAAATCATCGTATCCGAGGCCTGTGACTCGCAGTACATCTAGTTCCAAGCTCTTCATGTTGTGCAGAGCTTGAGCGACCCAACAAGCGCCCATTGGAGTTGGAGAATCGTGGAGACCTATCCATAATGCAATATTGTCCTCATCCGCCGTACCGTTTACCTTGATATAAACCTCTACGAGATATAGTTCTTTGAGAGTCCCCGAACAATCTTGGATGAGTTGCACTAGCTGACTAGGGTCGATATCAATACGTTTGAGTTCCAAAAATCGCAAGCGGTTGAAGCTTAGGGAAGTCTCTAGTGGATACGGCAGTGAACGCATCCTCCAGTCGTTCATGGTAACCCCTCTATGTCGGTGCCGCCGGGTCTTGATGTCCCTTTTCACGTTCCATCCAACTAGGCAAAGGCTGCCAAGCTTACCTGCTTTTCGAATCAAAAACCACAGGTTCCTATTGAAGGTCGAGTTTCGCTTTTCTTGTCTCTTAAATGACAAAACCAGATGCGTTAACTCCTTGAACGTTTTCATAGCGTTCTTGAGATCTATAGGATTATTGCAGATATTGTTGATCGTGGTATCGCTAACGTGGTCTATGACAAGGGTTTCGAGGGATAGATGTTCTTCGTCACGCTTTGCTAGGGATGCGAATGTAGTTGCCAGAAGAAGGGTGGCTGTCAAACTCTGGTCGCCGACGACTTGGAAGGGTAGGTTCATCTTTAATCGGCTTGTATTTGGGATGTGTTCAAGGACGTTCTGTCATAATTGTTAGCGGGGCTTGAAGTGGATGGAGACTGTGACTTACCTCCAATACTCTTCGGAAATCCGTCTCGTCAAATGTAGACTCACTCATGCAATGCCTTCGTAAATCTTCGAGAAGTGGTACCATTTCAGGCACTTTAGAGACCAGTCCTCGAAAGATGTCGGAGAGACGAGTGATTTCTTCTGCAGACAGTATTAGCATCAGGTTGAATTGTCAGGCCTCTGACATTAGTTAAAGAACTTGGACTTGACACCGTGCCATTTGGATTGATGATGCCCACACGCCCCCTCGATGGGATATCCGAGCTACGGAGAGGAAAGCTTACCTTCGTCTCTAACCACCATCATATCCATATAGACTGCACCGCACAAGTGCCCCACCCTTGCCAGGCTGTCTGTATTCGGCGTAGCATCCTTCAAGAACCGCGAAAACTCCAGCTGCACAGTCCTGAATATGTATGGTTTAAGGGCAGCATCGAATGCCTTGCAGACGAGTCGAAGTGGGAGGACCAGGTTCTTGTCGTGCCGGCACATGTCTACGTTGAACCGGAGGACCAGCCCTAGGATCTCGGTAGGAAGAGAATCCATGGTAGGAGATGAAGGGGATGGGACGTATATTTTGGGTTTACGAGTACCTGAATGTTGCAGAGTAAACCAGGTAAGATGGGGTTGAACAGTGTTGTTGAGTGTTACCCACAGCGATGATGGATGGCAAGGCTGTGGAAGCTCAGCTCTCAAGTTGCTTCGGCGTAGGCGGCCGCTGCTAGTGCTGTTTTGGGCATGCTATGATGCTCCGAGAAAAGGCTATGGTGGGAGCAGCTGGATGAACCTTATGAGATAAGAGTTGATAATCCAGCTATGAAAGCAGCGGTGTGTATTTTATAGGCATTTTACTCTGTAGAGTATTCATTAATCAATTGTTGCCAGGAGTCATGTTTTAAATACAGGGGGGATCTCATCCATAGATAGTGACCCACGTGATATCAAAATATGTGACCCCGTTCTTATTGTGTATATTGGATCAGGATCTTAAGTGGTATTGAATACCAATTACATAGGGATGAATTATATAGGGATAAGCTCAAAACTTTCCGTACTTTTTCATATTTAGTACCGTTATGATGCCGTGGCGTAACATATTCGGCACCGGAATAGTTACTAATGCCGAGTCATTAACTCAGGGGCTCGATTGTCTTACCTTACCCAGTCAAGCCAAGGCCAAGTTACATGCAAAATCTTCCACGTTTGTTTATTTTTCATTCCGTGGGTACTTTTGTTATTATTAGGATTAGTCCTTTCTTGCTGCAAAGGATGCTGTCTTGTGGCAGCGCTGAACAACAAAGTCCGCATGAGGGTTGTAAAACAGTGACAGGATATAGCACCTGACACTTTCGGAGGTATCTCGAAAATACCATACCGTACGGTACGGAGTACCGGTACCTTGAGTATCGCGAGAACTTCTGTAGAGTATGCAGCGCCGTGTCGGAGGACTTGGCTTGGAGGCTGGAGCAGAGACGAAAAGACATGACTCGGGAGAATTGACAAAATTGATGGGAAATGACAAGATGGCGTTCTGCTGCAGAATGAATTGATCACTAAAAGGATTGAGATGAGAAACATGACCTATGACTACGATGAGGCATATTCGAAGAGAATAGAATGCATATTCGTGGCTAACTAACGGCAATCTATAGATCACCCGTTTTGAGCCTCTAGATCTCTACAAGACAGGTGGGATGAGTCCGAATGACCCCGGTGGTTGTCGCCCCAGGTTTGAGATAGAGGATGTAGTCTATGTAGAGGACCAAAACAAGCTTAATATATTAAATCTGTCCCACGAAACGTTCCGAGTCAATTGGAATTCTATACGAGAGCCGTTTCCCCGTAGACGTATCACCCACGATCTATTTGCGAGATACACGTCGAGCTGAAGGTTCCTCCAAGATGAATAGGAACGCCGCTGGGCGGGGTGGCAAGCAGATTGCTACTGTACTGTACCTCCGTACGTGATCTGAGATACGAAGGCATGCCGTAACACTTCGTATACCTACAGTAGCCAGATCGAGCTTCTTACCTGCATGAGGCAATTCCCCTATACTATATTTCGTGATTATTAATAATTATCAACAACTCAAGTGCCGCTTTTGATGCACTTAAAAATAGACCCATAAGGGTCAATACCCAGGTAAATTGCCTACTAACCACTAGCAATAGACGCCGCTCAATGTGGGGTCTAGCTTGTCTAGTACTAGCGCTGGTCCCTCCCTTATGTGCGAGGCCGATAACCCGACTTGACGGTGTCGACGGCGCCGTACAGGGAAACTAAGAGAAGCAGTATTGTCTCTTTTCTCCTCACCCACAATAACACCGTACTCCATAATATAATCCTTTCTATTGTCCGTACCTATTTACTCTCGTTTCAAGCGTTTGCAATCCTGATACCATACACTACTTCTCTATTTACCCGTCCTGTCCAAAATTACTGCCAATTTTGTTATTCACGCCTCTCTCCACCGTGATATTTGTACGGAGTTAATCAGGGTTCCGCTCGGTGCTGTTTCACATCCACAACCACCCTGCACACGACTGAGTTCCACACCATACAGTCCATATTCAGGAACGTGCTCTTACCCCGTCGTCAGCCTCACCAGGGAACGCCAAATTGCTCTGCTGGTCAGACGTCGCTACTCTCATCCTCACCCGCCATCGACTGGTTGACTGATCTCAATGATCCGACCAAACGCGCTGTTCGAATCTATAATGACTGCCTAGGTGGACCACCCTCGTTCTCTCGCTCGCGGTATGGCAATGACCATGTCTCCGGTCTCCCACTCCAATCCTACATTTCCTCGATCGCACTCCTCGCCAAATCTGCCCGAGTTGATCAAATTCGAACCGTATCAACGACCGGAGACAAGGCCTGATGAAATACTCCTCCGGTCTGCGAGTTTTAGCTGTTTAACGGAGCTGGAACCTCAGATCCAGTCAGAGAAAGAACTACAAAGGATAGTATCGGCGGACATTCCTCCGGAATCTGTTGGAGAAAATGGGGCATTGAAGAAGAAGAAGAAGGAAGAGAAGACTGGCCTTCCACTGTCGAAGGACCAACAGGAGGAACGTCCAAAGTTGGAGAGAGTAGGCAGGAGAAAGTCCTTGGTCGCTCGGCCCAAATCCTGGATACAAAAGGTCAAGGGGGGATCACCAGAGCGGCAGAGTGCTCCGGACCCGCACAACACAACACCAGCCGATGCTCCTCCAGTTCCTTCCATTTCGAAATCATTTCGTGACAAGTCTGTCTCGGCGTCCTTTGCAACATTCGCTCGGAAGTCATGGATGGCCTCGTCAAGGTCCCCATCTCCAAACCGGATACCCGGGAAGGAAATAGATAAAGATGGACAAGCTGTGGAAGAGGCGAGTACATCGGGCAATGCGAGGCCCAGGCCAATCTCTCGTCGGTCTCTAGGACTGGGCACCAGGCTCGACAAAGCCCCCTCTAATAAAAGCCCTGACACCACCCCGAAACTTGCGAAAATGGGTTCCTCATTGATGAAAATGAAGCAGAGACCGCAAAGTGTACTCATGAATTTCACAACCTTTACTTCCGCAAACTCGTCCACGAGCAGCCTTCCGGGCAGCTCCATGGACACCCGGTCAACACCTAGGACATCAACTGATAAAATTCCCCCTATTCCGAAAGCACCTTCAGCCGAAAAACTCCAAAGTCTGGGGGATGCTCCTAAGCGGAGAGATGAATTATGGTCAGCCTTTCGGTCAATAGAAAATGATTTTGCAAAATTCCAAGCCAAAACATGGTCATTGAAGACGAATGTGGTTAGGTCATCACTCTTACCCTTTCTCCGAAATCACGCCTCCCATCCTTCCAACAAGACCCTGCGCCCCGAAGATCTGGATAGGCGAATTATAATCTTGAACAAGTGGTGGGCTGGGCTTCTGGAGGTTCTAGATGGAAGGCAAAACCAAACAGTCAGTGGTGTAGATCGCCCAGTACTGCTAGATGCATGTTATGCAATTATGACTAGGCCAGAATGGAGGTTAGCCCCGTCAGTTTTTGCTCCCCTATCAGAACGGTCTCCGAGTCGGTCTCCTGAACACCCTTCCACTATGTCGAAGAAGAAATCATCCGCTTCTCTGAACTCTTCGGTCACTCAGTTTCTTACAGAATCAGTCTATCACAATGTTCGTAATTTGTTCATCCAGAATCTACTTGGTCAAATGAGCTTTGTGGTTGATAAAATGTCCCTTAGACATGCCCCGGCAAGTCTTGTGACATTTTGTGGGAAAGCCGCTGCGTATGCTTTCTTTTTTGTGCCTGGAGTGGCCGAAGTATTGGTTAGGGTATGGAAATTGCAAGCCGATATGCTTCGAAGGGTGGCAGACGAGCTTGGGATGCCTAGGAGACCCAATAAGGTCGATCTGGATGACGTGATTGGTGCTTTTCCGTCCCATATCCATTGCTTGGGGTGGACATCACCGAAAACCATGGCTGCTCATTTACGTCAGACTCCCGAACTGGCGATAATGGTGTCAAAAATTCCGTTCTATGGTCCTTGGACGGCTCGTTGGTGTGGCAGAGATAGTGATTTGTTTTTCGTATTTGCAAAACATTATCACATACTGGCCGAGGAATTTTTGCCCTCAGATCTCTCTCTGGTGGGCAAAGCTCGCGCTCCAGGTATGTTCTTCATTACACGTCAAGTATTCCATCCTAACATTCTCAAGGTTTTGTATTAGTACAGGCGCAGATCTTGACGGCATTGGACGCTACAATCCATCGACAGCCGGCAGCCGAACCGCTTCCAATTACATTTGACGATGTTCTAGCTGGAGCGGATGCTAGCGCAGCGGCCCTCCCATTACCGTCAAACAATTCTACAAGGCTAATGGCTGAGAATCGATTGATCATGCTTTTGCGGGATTTTATATCCGAACGACCCTCCGATTATGACCTTGCTAGGACGACATTTGCAGAGGCGTTTGGCAGTATGATGCGAGCAGCGGCTCGGAAAACTTCCCTTTTTGACCATAACGCTTGCTTTGTGTTGTGCGATTTTATGGAAGAGGCTTTGAACATATTTGTTCGGTTCCATCTTGCAAATGGATTAGAGTCTGACTTTATTGACTGGTACTTTTGGATGGATGTATGCAAGAAAATACTTGAGAGTGAGAATACCATGTCTGAGATTCGTCTCTTCGCCTTTCTGTACGGAGCTTGGAATTTAATTACGAGCGACGAGCACCGAAAGGAGGTCATGTGCTTCGAGTGGCTTTTGACTGAAGATACCTTTTATAGATTCTTCAATCACTGGTGTCCGATGGTCAGGGCATATTACATGCGCCTGCTGTGTTGGCGACTTTGTCGGGATGATGGAGAAGCCACTGATCTCGATACGTACGTCAATGAATTGATCTTCCTGCAACTTAATTACTAACAAAATACAGGCAAATCTATAAAACAGTCTCAACCAGGATCAAGTCCACCTGGGCCCATTACCTCCACCTGAAACTAACTGCCGAGAAAGCACGCATGTTACCTCCATCAACAGCACCATGCCACCCCGCTCCCGGGCGACGCCTTCTTATCATTCGCAATGATAACCAATCCCCTGCTGCGAGCCTCCTAGGCTTCGACGGGATCATGCCTTCTAACAACACTCCTGGAACCACACAACCCACCGCTTACAAGCGAAATTCTTCATTGACCACCAGCCTCACAAAACTCGAGACGGCAGATTCCGCGAATCCCAAGCTAACTTCCGATTATGTATCATCCACAGGGCCAAACAAAAAGCGTTGGACATTCATGGGTAGAACTCTACCTCTCTCTCTGTCTTTACCCGAACCCGCTGCCGCCTCATCACCAACAAATGGAAGAGGCAGCCCCACGAAAACTCAAACCCTCGAAGAAGCCCGCCGCGAAACAGCAATGGCCCGGACCCGACCACAATTACACCCCCAGACTTCCAGCTCAGACAGCGAGACTCCACCCGCAACATCCACCCACCGAGCATTCTGCTTCAAATTTAGCCTTGAATGGAGCCAGCAGTTTGACAAGCCCCAGCAAGGACAAACACAAAACGGCAACATGCGCGGAGGACCAACTTTTAACATAGGCGCTGAACGACGTCTTTCCCCTCCTCGATTACCAGCTCCTGCGCATGCTTGGCTAGGAGCGAGAGTTCCAGGAATCAGCAATGAAATCTTGCCTAAAGATCCCAGCGCCGTCAACGAAGCGGATATAATCAACGGCGTCGTGCCCAAAAGCGCCGAGAAAGCCGCGCGCGCAAAGTACGCCGGCCGAGCACTGGCAGAATGGGCGCTTATAGTAGGAGAGTGTAATAATTTTGTGGAGAGAAGACGAACAGAAGGCGTGCCATCGTTGCGGTGGGTTGAAGTGCCTACTTTGGGCGTTGAGGGGTTCCGGCGCTTTGGTTGAGTAATGGTTGAGGTCAAGTTTATATATAGAAACGGCAGAGGTTCTGTCTGTGCATAGCAATGGCGTTTTGGTTGGGGGGGATGGGGGGCCTCGGTTCTTTTACTCGTACAATACCTTGCGAAAGCGGGTATTCATTGACGTTGGATATCAGTCAGTATATTTTTGGGAATTTTGGGCTTATAGTAAGATATAGGGGTACAGTACCTGGGGATTTACAGTGCATAAAAATAGTATATGATACGAATTGCATACCATTCCCTTCTTGTACTTGCAAGCATTTCTTTTGCATACCCTTGTTATGAATGTTATTTTTATTTCTATCCTTTTCTTTCGAATGATGTCTTTTATATTATTGTTATCATTGTCTCAAGTTGTGACATAACATAATCATACAGTAGATTGCTTGAATACTCCCTCCTGTCCTTTAAAAGGTGATTCGATGAGTAGATGTTAAAGAAGAAGTGCTTGTTTAGGCTAGTCTGTTCCTATATTTCGATGTCGTGGAGGCAATTATGACTTTCAGGCCTGCAAGCAGTACATAAAGTACAGAGCTAATCAAATTGACAAGATCAACACGAGCGATATGTCGCGAAAAGAAGAGTTTCGATCGACTAGACTTGGGTTGCATCACGAAGCAGTATGCGATTATTTTTAGAAAGCTTGCTGTTTAAAATATGTATTTTCTTTTATGTATCTACTAGATAGAGGATGATGTTTCCGGCTGGTGGGATCCATATAAGTCCTGTACAAGCATATTGTGGAGGGAAAGATGCTGGTGGATGCAGTTTCACTTTTTAGGTCATAGTATATATACCCCATAACGATGTCATCGGACTAGCTTCTGTATTAGGAAAGTAACACTGACACTTGCATGAGGAAGGCAGCGAGCGGATCCTGAAGGATCAATCGAAAGAAGTGGCGTGCATGCTGATATACTTGTAAGCGGTACTTCGCGTTGGAGATAGGTAGGGGAGGGGGTTGAACACATAAATATTGCAAGCGTATTTTTCAATTCAAAAGAGAAATTTCCGATAGATCTACGCCTAGTATCAAAGTGATGACATCGCTTTGACTTTTAATAAATAGTTTGGTCATATAGTAACAACATGATCAAACGCACTCTCCAAGCCCTACCGCCGGTCACGGCCACAGTTACAGTAACAGCGTACCCACCGACACTCCTTCTCCCCCAGCGTGGAATATCCCCGAGCTAGCTACTTCTCAACCAAAGCCTGTGGGGGGTGCCAGGGGAAGGGGGCACATCAGGTCGCATACGCGGCTCTCGAGTTCAGGAACGGAAGTCTATGGGCCTGTACTATCTTCTAGTCAGCACTCGCGTTCCGCCTCTATACAACCTAAGGTAGTACTCGTACTACAGTTTACACGCAGGGCGGTCCCATGCGCGAGAGGTGAGGCGAAAGAAGTATGTTGTATTATAGCTGAACTAGTGAGGAAGGTAAACAACCCATCACTTCTTCTGAAGTACTTTAGGCCAACCATATTGGGCTTCCCCCCCCAAACTACTATCAAGAGTGCTCTTTGCTGTCTATTCTGCTTTCCTATAGTGATTTGTACAATTAGATTAAGGTTGAATTGGTGTGAGGATAGTTTATTCGTTCGTGTCATAACCTCAAGTTCCCAACCAATCTCATTGATGATCACACTATCATTAATCCTAGTCTTTCATCCATTTCCGTGTCATATGCTCCTGCGTTTCCATCCATATGCCCTCGTCCTCGTCCTCGTCCTTTTCCAACTCCACCGCCGCTTGCCGCTTCTTCAAGGGGGGGTACAATTACGGATATCACTTCTCATTTGTGACCTATTAGTGTCTAAACATCAATACCTACAAACCAAGTTTGAGTCATGCAATGAAGATCGAAGAGATACGCAAAAAAATTCGACGATGTAGAGAAAGGTATGGTTCCTAAAGTAGACAGCAGAGTATGAGCGGGAAAGGAAAGGGGCTACCTTCGTCAAGCGCTTGCTTGCCTTACGAGCTCCCTCCTATGTAACAAAAAGTCAAAGAAACGTACACCCCTTTCTCAAAACGTGGCATGATTTGAACAAACGAGAACTGATATGTAAATTCCTTCTTTGAATAAAACCAGCCGTGGGTACAGTACGTACAACAGCGCTTTCCAAGCTAGCTAGCTGCCATGCCGATTAATGCCCCCCAAACGCCAAATATGTAAAACCCCCATATCCTACGCTGAAATATATACAATCCCTCACACATCCCACCTATGCTACGCTGACTCTCCCTCACATCTATATATTCCCATTCAGCTTCTTACTAGCTTTCATGATAATCGCCGCCGCCTTCTCGACCTGCTGCTGGGCCAGCGCCCAGTCTTCCGCTACCACTGCGTCGCGGACAGCCGGGAACATGGCTGAGTCGTAGCCGGACCAGAGGTCCGGGCCGAAGACGACATGTTTGTATTGCGTGCGGTTGGGGATCTATTGCCGTCAGTAAATGAAGGGTAGCGGAAATATGGGAGGAATATGTGAGGAAAGAACTTACGCCACCACCTTCTTCTAGATCCAACAAGTGGGTCTCGAAATTCGCCATGCGCGTATTATGGCTCTTCCTATGCGCAGCCAGAATGTTACTCTCAAAGCCATTGCCGCCAAGCACCATTGCATCCCATTCCAACTCCCACTTCTCAAACTGCTTTGCATCTCTCGCGAACTGTAGCACTGCTTCACGTAGAGAATCCGTGCTCCACGTCGGATTCCCAGCTTGGTTTGCACCCTTGCTCTCGGCCCAGTTCTCGAGATCCATCGACCAGGCTATCAAGGATGCCGAGTAGGCTGACATGTCGAAAGGCATGACTAACTTGTCGGAGAATTCGAGAATCAAAAGCCCCCAAACTTGCGCGAGCATGTTGTGAAATATAAATCCTGGATCTCCTACACGTAGCATCCATTCGAAGTTGTCGTACGCAGAGTGGTATGGGTAATGAGAGTCCCCGTCGAATCCCATGTCAATGCTAGACGTTCCTGCAATATCTTGGAAAGCAACATAATCACTGCCAGCACCCAACCCAGTAAGCTGATCGCCTCGGTTTTCCCAGATATCCTTCAAGGTTTCGTTTTTTATAGGATCAGATACCCTGGCAAGAGTTTCCATAAGCGCTCTCTTAAAAATTGGGCTTCCAGCGGCCTTGAATTCCGTTCCACCTACAGCTACATCCACATTGATATAGATAAATGCGTCTTTACGCAGCTGCTCAATATTTTTTTCGACGTACTCGGTTGAGCCTATCAGATTATATTCCTCGGCATCCCAAGACGCAAATATAATAGTCCGAAGGGGTCTCCAACCTCTCGCCATGAGATCTCCGAAGATGTGAATGACTTCAAGCATGACTGCCGTCCCAGATCCTGGATCCGTAGCACCAAAGACCCAAGCATCTCGGTGGTTCCCGATTATGATGGCTTTCTCATTTTGCTCTATCCCGGTGATCTGGCCCATGACATTCCATATTTTCTGCTTCTCATTCTCGTCTTGTTCATTCACGAGATGGACTTTTGGCGAGGATTGGTCCCCCGACCAATATGGATCAACACCAGCACCTTTCCACTCATCTGGGACTTGCTGTCCATGTCCCTGGATGGCCTGAAGTAATTTTTGCGCATCACCCCAGGAGAGTGGAATACTGGGAATGTTCACCAATCCAGGATTGTGGGTTTTCGATACCCGTTCAGCGTCTTTTGTGCTCGCCCACCCAGGAGTAAGAACATCACCCACAATCCAGCTCGTTAGGGCAACAGAACCTCGCTGGACGCCGTCTTCGGGTAACGCTCTCCCATTTGGAGCGGGAGGTCCCTGAGAATCGTCCGCCGGATCGCTGTATATAATACACCCCGCAAATCCTGCCATTTCCGCCCCCTTGACCTTCATTGCCCTATCCGTCTGGGTTCCATAATACCGTACCAATGCAATGGCGCCCTTCGTCTCGATCCCACTATCGTATAGTCTCTTGTAGTCCTCCTTTGATCCGTAATTCGCATATATTAGTGGCCCTGTAACGTCTCCTGCTCTTGAAAGTCCGTGAAAAACCGGCGTCTGCTGTCTAGGAGGATCGGTATACACTGGATCTTCCTCAATCTGCGCCGTCCAAGTAATAGCACCATCATCTCCCAAAATATCCACTTTCCTCCCTCCTTCCTTGGGATAATTCAAATAAACCTCATATTCGTCCATCTTTACATCCTCCAATCCATTTGACAAGAAAAACTGCTCCACGTACTGCGCTAGAACATAATCGCCTTCTGTCCCTGCATTATGATCCGTCTGCGTCACCACCTTCAAATGCTGCTCTATCCGCGCAGAATCCATCATGCTTTGCACATACATCCTCACACTTTCCGGATCGAACATCTGCGCCGACATGCGCGTCGTGAAAACCCCACTGACGAACAACAGATACACCACGCCCATAATAAGCAAGATAGCAAAGATCCGCGCCAATATGAGACAGATATTAAAATCGAGACTTATCCATTCCCGCAGTCCGTCCGGTATCCTCCACTTCCATCGAAATGGTAAATGTATCGACGAGAGAGACCGCGAAAGATTCGATATCCGCTTCCCCCACGTACTCTGCGGCCCCCCCGGCTCCTCCAGCTCCATCTCCTCAATCTCCCCCCTTACCATGCCCACCTCGGAGTCCTCGCTCTCCCGCCGTCCAAGAAACGCATCATGTTGTTCGAGACTGCCGCGGTTAGACGTGCTTTCCTCTGTAGGTGGCGGCCGGTATCCAGCTCGCCGTGTAGGCACGGGGGTTCTGCCCAAGGCATCCGGACCCAGGAGGCCTTCCCGTTCGGCGGGCTCGCTGCTCTCGTTGAGAGAGGAGGTGCGCGAGGAGGAGCCGATGGCTTCTTCGTAGGTAGGGATAGGCAGTGCTTCGTACGTGTAGGGTTTCTCGTCGGACGGCATCTTGAATGGAATGGCGGATGGACGCCCGCAGCAGGCTGGTTAAGGAGTTAGGAAATGCGTGTCGATCGCTCGTCACTCGTCAGGCCAGCTGGGATTCGAGCCGCATCATACGATTGATTAATTCGGTACTGTACTGTAAAGAGTGTTGAGGGTGGGTTTTATTTGTACAATGTTGGTTCTCCTGAAGTCGACGTCCTAGTACGGCTAGCATTGATAGATACGGAACGGCTGACGTTTGCGACTCAACACGGAAGTCTGAGCGAGAACCAGCGAGTTAATACATTCATCTGCTCGGAACAATTTACAGAATACATAAATAGTATTTTCAAGGCAATATTGCAATCATCGACATCATGCTTCACTTTTATATCAATTCCACTTGATCCGATCACATGGTGGTCACTACGTCTCCTGTTTTATATCTTCTTCTCTTGAATATTACATAAAGCCTTGCCCGTCACTCAAAAGAGTATGAATGACCCTTCCAAATCATCGCGCTTCGTTTGCCACGCTAGCAATGAATATACAATCCCAGCATTGTGAGGATTCGCCAAAGTTCTACCCCTGAATCTTACACCAAAATGGGGATTGCCATCTTCTCTCGTCTGCCATACCACTCAATCGACCCCCTATTTCGGAGCTGCTGTAATCACCCCTTCATACTCCCTCGATGCAATTAGATCTATCGTCCGTTGGAAATGGCGTTTGGGATGATCCATAGTTGCGGACTCTTGGTTAGTTGCTACATTTGAGTGGATGAGCTCAATGAGGCCATTGAGGTATTTGGTGGTGATCTATATTGGTCAATTAAACTTCTAGAGCAGATAGGGAGTATCCCAGGACTTACGGCATCATTTTGTTGATCGAAATAGTAGACATAGCGATTCAGAATTTCAACAAAGAGTTCAACTGATACGGCCGTGTCCATACATGTATCCGCAACACGTAGAGCGCGTTGAAGGCACTCGAGAACCCGCTTGCCGTCACGATACAGCTATCAATGTTAGTATAGTTCGTTAGCTTTTGGGATCTCAAACTTACATCTTTCTCGTCTTCTGCCTCACCCTTGGCAGTGATTGGTACTGCCCACCATAAATGGCTGGCCAGGTACACAGCTCTGCATTGATCCGGCTTCTTCAGCAGCTTACTCCCGTGTTGAGCGCACTTCGTAATTAAGGCGTCGTAATTCTCTCTGCTGAAATTCCGGCTATCATGCAATGCTCCTGCAATTATGCACACAACCTGGAACTGTGCTCTCGAATCGCTGATCTGCTCTTCATAAATTGTGAAAGCTTGCACGAAGAACTCGTAACTGACAGCTTCGGGTCCAGTTTGGTCGGCAATTTGACCGCAGGCCACAAACTGGCGTATGCACAGCTCAGCCGCTCCCGGGACCCGAGTATTGAGAGTCGAAAGCGATGCGTGCATAAACTTGTAGAGCGCTGATAACTGCGATTCCCAGTTGTCGTCGTAGTGCTCTCTTGACTTGAATTTTCTTGCCAGTTTCATTGCCGAAGTCATTAACGCAGGAGTTGTAAACTTGACTCGCTCATTGCCTTCTGCGTACGCCTTCCTTGTCATTTGCAGCAGCTTGAATTGAGTGTCGTTATTATCGCTATGGATGAGATGGACTATCCGGGCAAGCCAGCCTTGCTCTTCAATTGTCTCGTCAGTCTCGATGGCTTTTCGTTGAGACACTCCTGGGTAGCCAGCAGGTTGCTGGGTGCCCTCTTTGATAAGGACCTTCAAAATTTCAAGAACGCCTTCCAGTGCGGAGAGCGTAGATATCTTGGTATTATTACGTTGTAAACTGCGTGCAACCTCACCAGCTACAGCTCTTCGTGTTGGGTATGTTTGCGAGTGGAGAAGTGGGATGTATGTGGGGAGGGCAAGAGCGGTAAATAGAGAGACGTAAGATTTCATTGGGGCCAGAAGGAGGTTGAGGAGATGTGTTTGCGCTTCTTGAGAATGAAGGTCAGCACTATTGACGTGCTGCTTGACCTTCTGGTTTGCGTATTCGAGAACTTGGTCGATGTAATCGAGGCGATCGGGGTAAATGTTCAGTGCTAGATTTGCCAGGGACACCAAAAGGGCAGTGGTGTCTTGAATTGGAAGATGTTGAGCATTGACCAGGTTCATTACTTGTTCGAAGAATATCTCATAAAGCTTGATGCCGTCAGGAATACCCTTATTTTTCTTCTCGTCACCTCCATCGGTGCCATCGGCAGGCTCGGATTTGGGGTCCGCTGGTGTTTCTTCTGTTTTCGGGGTTTCTGTGTCTGGAGGAGCTGGCTTTGTAGATGCCTCTTTACTATCTCCATTGGTCTCTGATGCGGGATGTTCGCCATTTGGCTCTGTTGCAGCAGGCGTTTCAGCCTTCTTTTCATTATCTACCCGTACCTTCTCCAGGAGCTTCTCGACTGCGTCTTCCTCCAACTTTTCGCGATCCTCTGAGGGGTTGGCTTCTGATTCCCTTGCTGCGTATGATGATAACCTATCCATCAAAGCAATCACTATAACTTTTACATTGACGTGAGGGTTGAGGCGAGAGACTGCTGCTAGAAACTGGTCGAGAGTATGTAGGTGGAATTCGTCGGGGAAGACCTGCGTAATGACTTCCAAAAGGTATTCCTGAGCTAGTACATCACGACATTGCACAACCTGTTCTAGCAAAGGTTGCAATATGACGTTCTTGTATGTCTCGAGGTCCACCAACTGGCTCAGCCGAACAAGATTATTTCCTACAAGCAATTGGAGCTCTTTCCGCTCCTGTGTTCTAAGCTCTCGCTCTCTAGAGTGTCCTTGGTGTTGTAACCGCACCCAAAGCTTGTTCATCTCCACAAAATTCGTCAAACTAAAACTGATCGAGTCTTGAAGGTTGCCTTCAGGTCCATCACCGGGCCCCATTGGAAGGTTCTCTCGAGCTTGCCCCGAGAGGTAGTATCGCAAGAAGAGACCTCGAATTGGATGCTGGACGCCCCTACTCATCTCCATCATGTCCTTCATAATCTCCTTGACCGGCGCTTCTGGAATTGACATGTATACAGTGCCGACTGTTATCATTAGGTATAATCGAGGTATTATGTTTCCCGCATATTGGACAAGCTCGTATAGGTCGGCGAGATGGTTGACTGGGTGGGAGTCTTTCAGGTAAGCGGAAAGGTGTCGCAAAGCATCGAACACAGCCATGTATAACTCATAGTACTGTTTGGGCCCGAGACTGCTTGTTCGAAGCTCAGAAACAAGGGTGGAGCTGTATGTTGGATCGTCCGTCAGCACGAGATCAGGAGCAGCAGGCTGCGCATATTGCAGAGATAACGGCACAATGATGCTTATGAATAGGGCAATATCCTACCTGCACTTCAGCGCATCCATGAGCTTTCCCGGCGTCTCAAGGCATTTGCGCATCAGATGCGTCTGCTGCCTTACAACTACCAGTGCATCTTCCAGCAGTCTTGCTTGGTCTTCTACCGCTGGAGGACTGGACATGGTGAAGATTCAGTTGTGACGATGTGCTCAATGGCCTGGCAAGCTTAGACAGTAGTCATTGATGTTGTGGGACGTAGTTCAAGAACGGAGGTTGAGGTGTTGATTTCGAGAGGACCAGCTTCGCTACAGGTTACCGTCATGAGCCGCTAGTCTGTGCCATATAAAAATACATTGTTACCTACCCTACCTACGTGTTTGGTATTGATTGATCACATGGCAAATACAATAAGTAGTTATTATTTTCATTTCTCATTTTTCTCTTCTATGGATATATTATGACATTATGACATTCCGTCGTTCCAAGCTTCATTAACTCCGATGTAAATGCTGCGCTCTCCAGCTCTTGGGGCGCTTTCCTATGCCGATCATGTCCCTCCCATAAAAATACATTCTAAGATCATTATACGAATAATGATCTAATTACGCTCCATAGAGCCTTTCTTTCTACCGAGTCCCTCTTGAAGCCTGCTTGAGAGATTTGGAGTGTCTCCAGCTCGCTTCTTGACTCGACACCAGGTACGCTGTTTTCAGGAACAGGTACTTCCGCTAATGCTGTAGATACTAGATCTGGCAGGGTTAACGTTGATGTTGTTTGAGAAGACTGTGTGACAACAGTCGCTGTAGCGGTCGAATTCGACATGGGGCATAGCTTGTGTGCCACTGGCCATCATCGTACGACTTTGAGGATGTGGAGGTAACAGAGCTTGAGCTGAAGGTGCTGATATAGCTGGAGGTGCTCAGTATCGAGCTCGAAGTCGTCTCAACGGTAGCAGAGGATGTGGTTGTGGGCGAAATTGAGCTCGAAGAGCTACTTGTTGAAGTAGGGGTTTGTAGAGCAGAGCTTGAGGAGCTGCTGCCACTGCTGCTGCTGCTGCTGCTGCTGCTGATTGTCGACGAAAATGAAGATGTCGAGACAGTTGATTCCGACGAGGTCGCAGATGCAGAGGTGTGCGAGCTGGTGGTTGATGTAGATGTGGTTGAGGAGGTTGGACTGATCGCAGATTTGGAGTCGCTTTGCGAAGATTTGGAAGCCGGCGTCGATGAAGAGCTTGTTGATGAACTCGGAGTTGAGGCTGGGACTGTGACCGTGACGGGAGGCGAATCGACATTAATTATTGAGTACCCCGTCGATATGACAGTAGTTGCGCTTGGAGATGGCGTGAGGGTTACAAGGACAGTGTTTGTATGGTCCGGTCCCTCAATCGTTTTCGTAGAGACTATGTAGTCGGTGACTGCTGGTTGTGTAACGCTATCTGTTTCCACAACGGTCTTCGCAGCCGCGGTTTTTGTCTCGATCAGTGTGGATATTATGGTTGTTGGAGACACTGCTGGGGACCCATTTGCGGTGGAAGTCGAACCACCATCTACAGCGACCACAGAATATGATGCCCTCTTGACGAGAGGTTCGAATTGAACTGTTCTTTTGTGAAAGAATGGCAATGCGCTCGTGAAACAGAAAAGAGAGGATAGCGCAAATAGCGAGGCGCTTGAGGTATTGAGACGCATGTTGAAAATATGTGGACAGGGACAAATCGCGAGAGAACAAGGGATACTTCGTACTTGCGCGGGATTGCGATTTGAAGATGGTCAGAGTATGAAGAAGATCACTTACCAGAAAACCAGAGGAGGTATAATATACGTAGTTATCCGGTCTGAGATTCACATTATGGGAGGTTGGGTTTGTTTGGAAATGGCTGGTGTTTGATGAAAAACAAGGTGGCTGGGCTGGATGAGCAACTTTGATATTTGACTTAGGCGCAAATTTCTCATGAACAACGGGATATGATTATAGAGAGAAAGGAACAGAGATGAAAGTTCCTAAGACCTAAATGGTCGCTTTACCGATGGATTGAATGAATTATCGCGATGTTGCAAAGCTTGATCTTGATGTTGCGCAGATGATGGAATGGAATGAAGCCCATTTCGCCAAGACTTCCGCCCAAGCGATCATTCCACGTGACTTCAATGAGCTGGCTGGACCACCACACTACGGAGTAGGAATCATGTACAAGCAAGTACAGCATGCGGACTTGGTTCTGTTCTCTGGGTTGGGTGTATATCACTTTGTAAATTCCCCAGCTTCCTTTAGGAGGTAGCAGGGACATCAAGAGCCTAAGAGTTCATAAGCAGTTCTTTTGCGGGGAAGGCCGTAAAACACTGTAGGAGTTAACAATATCTTCAATTTGAATTTAGTCTTTATAATATTCCTTCTCCCGGAATAACGTACCATCAGTACCTTACTGATTACTTTGCGGTCGGCACTTTTCGGTATCAAGTCTCTTATCGGGAAGCAATTCTCCGTAATCGCTAGTCTATCGTGCGTATAGTAAGGTATTGCATCACTCGCTTTGATCTTCTAATCTTTCCTTTGTACTGTAACGCTTCTCCTCCGAGTCGTGTCGTTGACTCGTTGCGCCCACTCTCCACGATTACTTACACTCCTATCTCGGACTGGCCCTCCTTGTCTAGGATACAGTATCTGCAGTCATGGACCATGGGCATGGCTTGAAACTATACCCACCTTGATGGTTAAAGATCTGCCGAAAATCCAATCACTCTTCTACCAAACTGTTACCCCTAGATACTCACTTGCTCCCCCACTGCCTCGCTGCCTCGAGTGTTCAGCGTCAAGAACAACACGTTCGGAATATCTCAAGAACAAGACTATTTGCAAGCTATCTATCAAATATCAACAATGGCAGACGAACAATCTCCCCTCATGCTTATCCCAAGCGAAATCCGGCTCGCCATATACCAGCTTCTTCTCAACGACAACGGCAACAAGACACTCGAGATTCGAAATGAAGACCCCGAATCATACAAGCGTCACGATATTCCAAGTCGCACCAGCTACCGAATCATTGGACGGGATCTAACACGGCGAAGTCAATCAACCACCTACCACCTAACCACCAACACCGAAATGCATACTTCCATTATGGGCGTCAATCGCAAGATCTACGAAGAAACCTCTTACTTGCTGTATGGCTCTCATACATTCAGCTTCGGCCGAGATATCGAAGCCATGGTACCCTTCTTCTCAAACATGACGAAGCAAACCAGACCCCTCCTACATGAAATCGCCCTCGTCAAACAGGGCTCCGTGTACACCCGAGACTACGATCGCTGCGAGTGGAGAAACCTGTGCGAGTTCCTGAGCAATGATATGCGCATTGGGAGCTTGAGATTGGTAGTCGAAGGAGGACGTCCGAGTCTTGGTTGGGATAACCTCCCACAATATACAATGGCAGACTTCAAGACTCTAGCACATGTGAAGTACGAGTCGCTGAATTGGGTCTGGGAGTTGCTGTCGATCAAAGGAATTCGGAGTCTGGATGTGTCTTCGGAAATTCATCACTGCCCGCCATCACACTCGAGCGCAATGGAGCTCTTCGCCGCATTTTCCGCGTCTATTGAGAAAGGTTTTGCAGACTTTCTGCGGTCAGAGATGCTGGTTCAAAGGTAATTGGAAGATGGATCTGGGGAGGAGGGTTCATGCAGGGCTTTGCAGATGCTTCAAAATGATCTTTGTTCCGATTTGATGTTTTTCCTCGTACAAGCACAGTCAGCTTCATGGTAGCATAGGGAAACCGGATGGGAGTTCCGCCACATTGGCGACATGGGTATTGTCTTTCTTTTTCATGGATTGGTTTTCAGCTGATTGGTACACGAGCAGAAGCTGAAGTTGTGTATCATGTCTTCTGCATGCTTACGATAATCATGTCTTGTTTAGAGACGGGAGGAGACCCGACTTTTGTTTGGTGTTACAGGGCGTTCTTTAAGAAGGCTGGGTTCTTCGTTCTTTCTAAATAATCAAAATCTGCTTCATCTACCTATTTCCTCCAGATATCACTTTCTCGTTTTGTCAGATATCGATACTTGCAAATCTAACTACATCGCGGTCAAGCTCGAACTAGTCCGTCCAGTAGACCTATCTTTCACATTGAAAAAGTTCATTTCAAGGATTCCCAACAGAAGATCCGCAAATCAACGCTACCTTACGTAGCATATCACCGTCACCGTCACCGCTCTTCTGAATTACGGTAGGGAGTTGGGGAGTGAGAAAGCAGCGTGCATGCAGGTGTCTAGCGTGCATGATATGATGCACTCCAGCGGTCGGGCCACACTGCCGCGTTCTCCTCCGATGGAAGCGCCGCCATCCTCCGATGGATTGTTATCACTGAATATTTTCTATCGGCGCAAAAAAGCTAGCATGTGTATGAGTAATTGTCGCAATATCGAAGTCGCCATCCTATATCCCCGTGCTCCCCCGTCATCATGTCTTCCAACTCCGATTTCAGTCTCGGACTTTCGAAACACCTCGTTGCGGCTCCAAGAAAGTTCCCCTGAGACCCACGAAGCCGTGGCCATGGTTACCGCCGATCAGGAACCCGGATCCAGGCCCGGGCCTGTCGATCTCAGCCTCACGACATCCATCAGCAACACATCACGTGCCCCTCCCTCCTCATTCCGCTTCCTCGACCTCCCCCTGGAACTCCGCCTCAAAATATACACCTACCTTCTCCCCGCCCGCGCCCACACCATAGCCACGCAAATCCCGCACAACGGCTATTATTACAACACCGCCTCCCTGCCATCCCACTCTGCCAGCTCATTCTACCCCTTCGGCCGCTGCCCGACCCACAACCTCACCACCTACAAAGTCCTGACCGATAATTTCCGCTCTGGCTTTCCCTCTCCTTCAATCTACCCCGAGATTCTCCGCGTGAGCAAGCAGCTGCTTGCAGAAGCGGAACCGGTGTTGTATGGTGCCAAGGACGTGCTTTGGGATTTCGGCGTGCATGCAGAGGCCCTACTCGCATTTTGGGGCGATAGGAGTCAGGCTGCTAGGGCGTGTGTGAGGAATCTTCGGATTGCGAAGGAGATTCCTGCTTTACTAGCTTCCGATAGCAATAGTAATAGCGGTGTAGATGCGCGCTGGCTGACACTCTGCGCGTTTATCAAAAACGAGCTAGTGGGGCTTGGGGAATTGGATTTGACCATTTGGAGTGGGAGTGGGAGCGTGGCTTCTTTTCATTCCAATGGTTCGGGTGGAAAGGATGGGGAGGAGAGGTGGAGGGAGTGGGAATGGACGAGGGAGTTGCTGGATATAGATGCGCTGAGGTGTGCGAGGTTAACGTGGTGGGGCTTTAGTAGCGTTGAGGGGGGAGGGATGCCGGCGGCGGGGTTTGATTCTTGGATGGCGGGACGGATGATGGCGGATAGGTTGGCCAGAGATAGGATGGTCGAACAGGGGCTTGTGGTTGAGGGGTCTTTAGTTGTTTCTAGAAAGGCTGCTTGAATGTCAGTATGGCTATTTAGGGTTTTGGAAATTAGATGGACAAGTGAGTGAGAAATATAGATTACATACCTAATGCATCATTGTTGAATCCAGAGAGCCAGTGCTCGGTTTTCCATGGGCTTTCTTACCTCTCGACCCAATCATCAAGTAGATCGATATCGGCTCGCACCTTTCGTGGTGCTTCTCTCATCCTTCAGCTGCCTTCAAACCTCAACAAGAGCCACACTGCTGCACCTTGCTGTCGAGTCTACGATTCCCATCATCCCCTTGAAGGTGTGAAAATAACAATCTCGTGCTCTTCCCCCATTTTGTTTCCTTCTACGCAAGTAATGCTCCCAACAGTCCAGTCTTCATTCTCAATCCAACGATTCCCACTGCTTTACATAGACCGGCGCCCCAGTTGGTGCATGCCTCGGTGGCGTCAGCGGTTGCTGTCTCGCCCACGACGTCCTCGCCGGCCGCCTGGTCATAGACACTGTCTTCAAACGATCCCATGTCGTGTCCCGCTCCATGCTCTTCCGCTTGTTCCTCTCTATGATGAATAGTATCGCGCATGTTAGGGCGAGAAGACCCAGCGGTACTCCGACAGAAGCACCAACGATCGTCGCTGTCTTGTTATTTGGATTTGAGGTTGGCGATGTACCGGTTTGGCAGGTTGCGGGTGACCTATTGACGATAATCCCCACTGCGGCTGCGGAAGATGGAGATGGATATGCGCCCGCGGTATGGCTCGCAGAAAATGCAGCAGATGATGTGCTGCTAGCCCTGGTTGAAGACGTAGTTTCTCCTGCAAGCACAGTTCCGAAGACTGGAGCCCAAGTCTCTGATGCGCAGCAATTGCCGTCATATGCACAACACCACGTCCCATCGTCATCAGCCGCATTACAAGCAATAACCTTAACAGCACTACTATTCCCATCTTTTCCAACCAAAGGAAATCCCAAGTCAGCTTGCTGAGCTATCAGATACATCGTGGAGGGAATGGAAAATTACTACAACAAACTCCGCATGCGCACTTACAGTTTGTGTTTGCCAAGCAATAATCAGGGCATGGATTTCCCCAATCGCTATCAGTGCACGCTCCTCGATATACGTATCCTTTGGAATTGCTAACACAATACCCGGCACTGGTGCAGACGTCGCCGTCTATACAGCAAGAGGAGTGGCTGGCGCCAGTGGACGAGCATGCTGTGTAGGAATTGGCTAGCCCGCCATTAGGGAAGAAACAGCTATCGTTTGCTGAACATGTAGTGGGCGTGAAATAGCTTGATAGTAATAATAAGATAATAGGAATTCGAGAGGGTGTTGTTGTGATTACTGAAAATGAAAACATTATGAATGTGAAAATTCGTCAAATAGATGACTAAAATCTATAACTGAGTGGCATCAAAGATAAAACGAGCGGCGCAAGTTTAGTTTTGATATGAAAGTTGAAGCATACTCCTCCTTTTAACAACCTCTAATGTCAAGATCTTCCCCTTCGAATGTAAAGGAAGCCGCTCGAGCCTCGACCACCTACCTAGTTGGGCAAGCCATGTACATAGCTAAAAGTCTCCATACTCCTTAGCAAACCCCATACAACTCTAAAATGCCGCACAACGATCCATTTAAACCCTGTAATCAATTTTTACCTTGATTCTAGAAGGATTGAGGTTCTAGAAGGATTGTGGGATCGCCACTACTGTACGTACATTGTGCCTCACCTCAACTCAACATACGCAAGGAAGGAAGGCTATTTTCAGATCGTGGTTCGATAAGCGGTGCTACTATAGTAGGTGGTTTTAAGGAGCTCTAATGGTTTCAGTAAGGGGTATTGTACATAATCAGACGCTTTTCTTCTCCCAGTAGATGTGAAGGTGGACGGGGAGGTCGAGTTGTGCGGGTTTTCTATTTATAGGCACGAGCGTATATATACGGCCATCTCGATCCTTTATGCATGCAATCATTAGATCCCCTCAGGAGCATCAATCGCCCTCACAAAACTGAACTTATGTGACATTGCATATGGCGTATTTCGGAAGTAGGGGATGTGGGGGCATCGGACAAACCCATTATACTGCTAACTAATCATAGTTCTATGAATGCTAATAATAGGGGTCAGATCTACTCTCTGATTATATAAATCTAATTGATCTAGCAATAAAAAGGCTTACTTACTATATTCTAACAAAAGAGAGATAACTATATGGGCAATAATAAGAGCAAATGAAGTAAAGAGGATTAGTATGTCACGAAAATGAAGCGTGACGTATATTTTCTTTCACGGCATACTCTATTTATAAGGTTGCACTAGCAAGGGGATTCGTATAATGTACGACGTACGAAGTATCCACCCCCCATTTACCTTATGCGAGGAGAGCAATCTAGGCCCAAATACTCACTAGCAAGTTCTCGACTTCTGCTTCTGCTCCTCTTCGTGCTATTCGCAAAGAAATCAGCAATAATAGTTGCAGGTGTTTTCTTCTTTTTGAAGCTGGAATACACATGTGCCAAGTCGGCTTAATGGGTATAGGATCCCTAGTTGTTATTCTCAACTAGTCAACGTGGCCATCTTCTTGCTAACGTGAATAGTAGTAGAGACTCCCCAAACGAACCCGCAAGCCAATCACCGCATCATTTCAAAGCGATTGCAATCCCTTTCATAAACGCGGGCAATTCAAAGTAATCAGAAACAATATGCCACAACATCCCTCAAAACGGCACTGCTACCAGTACAGGCTAGGCATACACATGCTCTAAGATACACGCAAAACCCTTGGACATAATAAATCCGGACGCATTTGAAAGCTAACCTAAATATTGAAGGACATTTGTCTAGCTTTTGTAGTGGTTTTCATATGGCATGATGAATAGATGAATAGATGAATAGATGAATGAACGAACGAACGAACTTTCTTGGCCGTGAATAGTTAGCACACACTCAATATAAGAGTGAATCTATTAAGTAGGAGTACCAAAGGGAATAGGTGGAATTGTTAAACTTTCGATTCAAGAAGCATTAGAAGAGATTGCCTGACATCGTATTCACCAGAGTGAGGACTCCTTCAGTCTCCGCCACTCCCTCAAGGACGCTCAGTGAACAGGAAAAGGTACTTAATACCCTTTTCCAGTAGAACTCATAGAGCACCCTTGATTATGAGACTACGACAAGAGATATGTCGCAGGGAAGAACTAGAAGCTTACACCACGGAGCCATTATGCCTCCACCCCACCTTACCCCATCATAAACCGAATTATGACACATCCCAGACGAGACATTTGTTAAAAAGGCATGAACGACGAGCCGTAATTACAGCGAGAAAGCATCTGACAACAACATAGCCTTTGCAATGAAACTTGATTCAAAAATCTCAAGCTCATAATGCCCTGTTTCTTTGGAAGACGATGATCTCAAGTAAGAAACCTAGGTACCATAGTGAGTACTGTTGATGCACAGCGACCTTTCCTATATTGGTGATAGTAAGAGATGGGCCATTTCCTTGCTGGACTTGAACAAATATTGGAGCTACGAGATTTTTATATTATGTTTCTTAGGATTGTGTCTAACGATGTGACTCGATAATATCATTCGCAAATCAAACCAATTCAGCTGCTTACTTTTATCGTAGCGAGGAAGGAACGATAATCAACTCAGAGTAAAGCAGAATCTTTCATTTTGATATCTTGATTAGTATCAGATACAGAAATAAACCATTGAATTTTGACGCAATTAGGATATTCCACGCCATGTAACAAGAACTAGGAATGAACGTAGGACAGCCAAGAAATGGGAATAGAGGGGGACATGTTATAAAAGGCCTTCAGTATGATATATATACTTCTACAAAAGCAGAGAGGTTATCCCAGCTGAATATGAGTTCATCTCTCGTGGCCACAAAGCAGAGGGCAACAAGCTGGCTCGCCCCGGTCTTTAATGGTGGAAGTTACTGCTCCTATCCCTATAGCAAGAGCAAACACTACATGCACTTGACACGCATTCCCTACCTAGCAAATGCCTTCAAAATTCTCATCCGAACCCGCGACTAACAACAGCACCAATTCGACAAGACACTTTTTCTTGACAACAAACCCCACCCCTTCCGTTCTTTCCCCATTCACGTTAATTTCCGACGAGAAATATAGCACCTTCCCTTCCCTAAAGATCCCGAAAGTCAAGCACCCTTTCACCGCTGGCTCAAGCACCAAATACCATGCTCAGCAAACAGTATGTCTGGATCCATAGTTCCTCTCTCTTCCTTGCAGAACGAGAAACTCTTGTCTCCCTAGGCTGTATTTATAAATTTCTATCTCCAAGCTCACTTGCGCTCTCTCTTGGGAGCAAGAAACGAGAAACAAGAAATGTGACAGCGAAAGAGCTGCATTCACACCCCTCTCAATCCCTTCATCCCACAAATTCCAAACCCCCACCCATACATACTATGCAACCCTACTTGACCCTAAAATAAACAACCTCTCCCTCATTCCGAGCCCCTTTCTCCGCCAAACACTATTTTCAGACCGCAATGTTGTCTGCCACGTACCGTCTTCTTCGAGGATATTTCTCAGTGTCGAATTGCTTGGAAGTAGAAAGAATGGTATATATACACGACAAGCTCAAAGCACTATCCGAAGGTGAAACTCTTTGCTTTTCATGTTAACACGAACGGATATTTTTTTGACGGCAAAAAACTTTGTGCTTCCGATGAAAATTTGCCAAAGCCTGAAATTCGCGTGCTATGGTACTGCCTCAAGATCAAATGTTTATCTAGAAGCAAAGCAGTGAACTTCGATGAAGAGATGTACGTATGAATGACGCAACTTCACCATGGTCTATGGAATTCCATTGTGCGATCTTGCTTGGTTCACTGCCAAAAGATTCCCAGAATGCTATTGATCTTTATATATATATATATAACTCCTGGCTCTCGATAAGAAGTGGAAGAAGATAGAAGCTGTGTAGCGTGGGGTGGAATGGCACTTGCCAGCTATATCATGCATGGAGAGATTTATTCGGAGATATGTATGTGTAGATGTAGATTGGAAGTGCATTAATATCATTTCATTCCATTGAATCGCTCGCTATGCCCCATCGCTCTTTCCCAAACCAAAGTACTCCCACATGATATCATCCAAGTCGCCTAATACAATTACATTACAGCATTAACCAATCCGAATGCCTGCGTTCAGAGCTCTTGCATTCCCAACCGTATCCTTCCAGTCCCTAGCAAGCCCTGCTCATTCTGAAGTGCCGCGTTAATACCGTAGCGGCTCAACCTGTAACCCTCCTAACCCAAAGACCGGTAGGTTCATAAAAAGCCTCCTTATCCTTCCTCTTCCATGCCCGATGCAATCTCAACCCAATATCATGTTCCTCCCTCCTAACATCCGCCTCCTCCTCCCTCAAGCCTTCCACCTTCCTCTTTTCTCCCTCGCGTTTCCTCCGCACTTCATCATTAACCATCACGCTATCCGTAGGCATCAGCTCCGTCATCTGCCGTATGCTCTTTGTGATATTATTTCTCCTATGCGAGAGATTCTCCAGCTGTGCTTGTAGAGATGTGATCAAGTCGTGGGACTCTGCTTCAGCAGGTGACATGGGGAGAGATTTCGCGATGTTGGAAACGCGTTTCGAGGCATCTGCTTTGCGCATGCTGATGAAGACTGGCGAGGAGTCGGGGATGGCTTTCCGTGTTACGCCTGATCGTGGACCTTCACCGACCTTGGGCTTTTTGCGGCTCATGATCGGAGATGATGGTTGTTGGACGACAAATTGTTGCGGTGGAGTTGGCATGGAAGGGGTGGGCACCGGTGGTCTGTCGAATGTATCTGTTGAGGGGCGCGGAGTGCTGTGGGCTGCGGAGGTTGCGTAGGTAGAGACGCTGAAGCGTGATGGAGGTTGGACATATGGCTCTACAGGGGTGTTCCTGTCGAAAGCGATGTGTTTGTATTGGTCTCTAAATCGTTGCTCTTCAGGCGAAATTGCTTCTGGCGGTGGTTCTCGAGGCTCAACTGGTAGATTCGCACGAACTTGGGTTCTTGGTGCAGAGACCGGGTTGGAGGAAAGTGGATCAGAGAAATTTTCTGAAGCTGGAGAGTTTCTTGGTTGTGGTGTGCTCCTGGCACCGTTATCTGAGAAAACAGTCCGGGTTGGGGGATCGACGCCATCTGACAATGGAGGCGAGACAGGGCCCATTTCACTACTACTCTGAGGCGAAATAGGGGACCTAAAAGGGGGAGAAGCAACCCTTTTCTCGCTCTTTCGGGGAATATTGAGGGGAGCAACATCAAGCTTATCCTCTACCGGAGTGACGAACGTCGAACGGCCACTTGCCCCTTTCCATTCCGGTCTTTCAACTGTCAAGGTGGGGCTTTTCAGATTTCGTACCCTTTCTCCAAAAGTAAGCTGAGTTTTCGGTGCCGCTGAGATACTCGAAACATTCCCGAATCGTTGTCCAGAAGCACTACGGGTATTAACTCCTGGCGGTGTAAATTGAGCTGGGGTTGTTGATTGTTTCTTCCCCCTATCTGCCGTTGTAGGTTCTCCCGTGTATGGATCCCAACTTGGATCCTTGGCCGGTCTACCCTTAGTGCCCACGTCTTTGCGAGTCACCAAATTTGCTGCCGCCGCAGCAACTTGGTTGCGTCTCTTCTCCCTTCTGAGGACCGGAATGTTACTCCCTCCGGGCTTGTCCTGTCTCGAATTAGGTCTGTTCTGTTGGCTTAACCCGAGCCGCGAGACGTCTGGCATCTTTTCTTCGATAGGTGACACTTCTTCATCCGCTTGGTTCTGGCTTCTATTTCTTGGTAAGCTGAGAAGGTAGAGGGGAAACGCGGGGTGCTCGATGAAGAACTTGAGTGTCTAGGCAAATGGCAGATTGGACCTTGACACCTGGATGTATTTGGGATTTATATAGCATCTCTAAAGCATGCTCTCGGCATTTCCGACATACCTTTGTCTAGCTGAACTAAGCTCTGGGGAACTTGGCGGAGAGACCTCTTGTGTATGCGCCGGGCTTTCGTAGGTATTCGCCCCGAATCGGGTGACTATTGGGTTCGGGGATGGTTGAGAATAGACAGAGGAAGGTGGTCGAAACGTTGAAGTACCGTGTTCGGAAGGAGGGGGCGCAACGGATTCGCTGAACGTATGTTAGCTGGTTGGTTCTCTGTATAGACAATATGCCGGTTGAAGTGGGATGTTTCAAAATAAAAACCCCTTTAGAGCACTCCAACTTGTAATTATCCACCTCCAATAGGACATCAATGGAAGTGCGATACTTACAAATCCATTCGAGGGAGAACTCTAGATTCCTCATCCTGTCTCGGCGGTCGAGAGGGTGCGTCGGTTTTGTATTCCGGCGACAAAGGCATACCCATAGAGCGAGATCCTGCGAATCTCTCATCAAATTTAGGATCTGGATATATGGGCTGGCGAGCGCCCTTAGGATTGTTCAGCCTCTTCCACATCCTGCAACCTTATTTCTTGCTGCTCAAGGTGTGTGATGCGCGCTGGGATATTTTGTCGCAGATAGATCGATCGTCTTATGTCAATTTCGAAACAGTATTCATTCACACATGTTATGGCCAGATATTCAACGTTTGTAGCTGAGGTGTGATGCGCGTATGGTAGTGGTGTATTCGTTAATAGCGTCGCGTGTAGTATCGGAAGGATTTGAGTGAGGCTGTGCTGGTAGATTTGATTCTCGTGATGGGAGTTTTGCACGACGGCGTGAATAATTAAAGTACAGGAACAAGATGATTGGGATTATTGTATGCGGTCAAACGGCCAAGAATAAACCAGGAATGGTCGCAAGATCGGATTGTTGCAGACGCGTTGTCAATGTTGTAGAGAATCACCACAACCAATCGAATCCGGAACTGGCGGCTGTTTGGCCTTCAAAAAGGTCTGATAGGATTCTTGAACTAAAGTCAAAGTCAAAGGACAGAAGACAGAAGACAAAGTACAAATAATATTATCTTGGTCCCCCTCGTGTGCCCCTTATTATCAGGTACGAAGTACTTATCCGATCCGAAAGATTGAAGGGATCTCGAGGGGCAAAGTTTGTTTCATGTTTATTTTTCCGTACTAACTACGCCATTTGAGTAATGTGAATACATGATGACAGCATAAAGACTTCGCCGAGCAGAGTCAGACGAGGTTGAAGATATATTATTAATGGGTCAGAAAGTACTGTATCTGTTGGGATAAGGGGTGTATCCCGACCTTTCTAGTCATGTGATTTGGCGTAGCTTAGTCGGCGAAGGGGCCATCCACGGAGAGAGCACCTCTTCGCGTCCCACGCTTTGAGACATCAATCAAGAACAACCAATCAACGAGACCACCTTTTACTAGCTAGTACGGAGTGTTTTACCGAGGTATCCTGTGAAACCAACAGAAAGTATCTTTCTTTATCTGATTAATAGTCGGCCTATTACTTCAAGTAATTCTTCTTTACCCCACGTTGATGCTCACGGAGGGACCTCCGCATGGAGGTACCCCCGTATGCCCTGAGGATTCTAACCCCTTTTAAAAGTATGCACCAAAATTCAGCCTGTGCACGCCAATCAATTCCGCATACTTTATCTCGGATGGAGCGGAGGGGTCCTTGCCTTTGACTTTGCCTTTGCCTTCGCCTTATTCATGGTTCCTACCGTGTAGGCCGAGGCTACACTACCTATATAGGTACTCTACGTATCGCCAGGCTATCAAAATTTCGGCATGATGGTTTGTCGTCCCTAAGAACAAAACAAGAAGAGGCAACATGCATTTTAGTTACCCCCTTGAAGAGCCAACCTCAGAGTGCAAAGCACATTTCGCATCAACTCCATGGTGTGCAGCCATCTTCAACGACCCCACGCTCCAAGCCTTCACTGCTCGAGATACCCAAAGAAGTTCGGTCCACACCTTTATGGGCAAAACCTTGGCAACTAAAGATACCATCGTCTATTGGCAATCGTTTCGAAAATTGGGAGCTCAACACAGCGACAATGTGACAGTTCTGTCTATTGGAAGCGGGTTCAATGGCCATGTCGATACTTGTCATGGTGGATTCATTGGAGTTGTGCTAGATGGAGTGCTGGGAAATGCCGTTGCGACTGAAAGAGCTAGCGACAAGGTGAGCATGACGGTTTATTTGAAGGTCTATTACAAGAAGCCGGTTAGAACACCTAGCAAGGTCTTGTGCAGAGCAAAGGTGTACAAGACCGAGGGAAGGAAGATGTGGGTTAGTGGCACGATGGAAGACGGCGAAGGGACCATTATGGCTACTGCAGAGAGTTTGTTCATGGTGGTCGAGCCGGTGAAACGTCTGGGGAAGTTGTGACAGCCTTTTTGAATGCTTGGTTGAGATATGGCATGGAAGAAGGCACCCCACGGAAGATCGTTGGACTTTAGGATGGGTGACCAGGATCAAACTTACTGTATGTTATACTTCTATATGAAAGTTTGGGCGACTGTTGACCCTCTAAGTATACCGGAACACTCGGTGTTTACCTATAGTACAGGTTGTTGTCATAAAAACTGCAACTTTCTACAAATTATGCTTTTACAAGGCTTGTATGGAGTCCCTCTGCTGGAAACACATTTTTTCTAGTAGAAAGTGGGTGATTTTAGCAGTTTAATCACCAAATAAGGCATAAATGATCTATCTAGAGGGGTCTTTAGCTAATAGAAACCCTCTATTATCCTGGTTACATCCTGGTTTTAAGTGGAAAGTTGCAATCTTTATGAAAACACCCTGTAAAAGGGGACGTTTCTTGATATCACGTGGCTGGCTGTCCTCGATTTAGTGAAGCCAGAATAGAGAGAATATCTATCTATGCAGGTTCTCTTCCGCTTACTAAAGAGCTTTATTGACATACTGTAGAATACTTAGTCTAATAAAGATAAAGAAACATTTCAGTTAACCCATTCCAAAATATTCCCTTCACGCGATTTCTGTAATCGGCAATTTTTGTAAGGGCAATTTTGAGCTTCGGCACGACCCCTAAAATAAGCCCCCGCCCCGGAGTTTACTAAATATATCTACCGGTACCCCATGTCCGAGATTCCATTGAATTCTCGAACACCTGTACCACTGAAGAGGATCTCTAACTTCATCTACGACTTACGAATGAGTATACGAAGTACAACAATCACCTCAATTTAATAACACAGCAATCCTCAGTAAAATCCCACAAGGTAGCCTTGCGCCACAACTCACCGAAATACCACCTCCAGAAACGCAAATAACATCAAATCCACTATCATGGACTACGTCGAGAACCGCATGGCCCAAGAAGCCGCAAAGCCCAACCTGAGTCCCGAAGTGTATGCTTTCATCTCTCCCTTCTACTAGAGACCAAAAGCTAATTCTACCACCAGCCAAACAATCTTCACCCCCCTCAACGCCCTTCTCCTCTCCCTCTTCCTCTACATCCTTTTCCGCTCCCTCCGCTCCACCCCACCAGCCTCTTTACCTCCCCCACCCGCCCCCGTCGTCTTCAAGACCTTCACACC